TATTTGTGCATTGACCCCAGTGAAAGTTCAAAGTTCAAGTAATGGCAGTTGTCACAGTGTACGTGCCAGACCAAAACAAAAATATTGTAGTAATATTTTACACAGTAATTATTAAATTGACAATGAAAGAAAAAAAATCTTTAAAATATCTAACTCATATGAAAAGAATCTAGGAAAAAATTTACGATCTAAACGTCAAAAACAGTATCTAAATGCAATGAAAAAGATCTAAATTTGGATATAAAAGATTCAAAGTGGCAACACTGGTTTCAACTGTACTGGACACAACCACTAGGAAAAGACGATTACGCGGCAGCACAGCAAATGTAGAAGACCTAGAAAAAAATGTGAGAGGGGGGGGGGGAGAAGAATGAGAGAGAGAGAGAGAGGATAGGGTAAGGAAATCTACACCAATTAAAGGTATGGAGAAAGAGAGAGAGAGAGAGAGAGAGAGAGAGAGAGAGAGAGAGAGAGAGAGAGAGAGAGAGGGTGAGGGAGAGCGGCAAATACAAAGAGAAAGAGAGAGGAAGGCAGTGAAAGAAGGCAGAGAGTGAGAAACAGGTAGGACCAAATGTGAGGGGGCAGGTAGGGAGATGGACAGAGATTAAGGCCCGCTAACAATAAAAAAGAAACACATCAAAAGACTAAACTGACTTCAAAAGAAAATATCCACCAGGTTCATGCTGAACACCCCCCTCACCCCCACATAATACAACTTCCTGTGTACTTGACAGTTACTAGGAAAAGAGTTATGGATACTAAATATTTAAACAAGACAGACAATTAGAAAGGGGGGGGGGTGGGAGAGAAGGAAATGAAAGAGAGAGAGAGTAAAAAAAAAGATAGAGAGAAAAAGAAGAAGATAAAGATCAGAGGAGAGGGAGAGAGCAATGCAGGAGACAGGAAGGAGAGAGCAAGAGGTAGAAGAGTGAAAGAGAGAGAGAAAGAGAGAGAGAGAGAGAGAGAGAGAGAGAGGGAGGGGGTAGGAAAACATAAGCAGGAAACTATAGGGCAATTAAAATGTTGATCGCCAAACCACGCCCATCTTGAGCCCCACCATCTCCCAATGCACGGCATTCTCTATTTATAAATAGCTCAAAATGGGCATGCCAAATGTAATCCGTTTCTAGAAACCACAGCCATAAAATTATTTATACTATTAATACTGCCAGACCAACTAGAAACAAAGGCACACGCACACGAGATGGCGGCTGCTCCTTCCCGCCCCATGCCACGCTGCTGCTGTCTGTCCGTATTCATGGGCTGCAACACAGCCCGCCCTTCCCTAGCCTTTAACAAGCCATTTTAGCTGAAAAAAGCCGATAATCAACTGCTCTCATACCTGAAACGACCGTAAACGAATGTAACCATAACTAGCCAAATTGCAAAAAAAAAAAAAAGCCTAAAGACGAAAATCGAAGGACTTCCGACGATCTTATTGTGGCGGTCAAAAATCAAGGTTATTCAATGTAAGAATGTCATTTTTAAGGTCAAAATTAGGGCCACAGTTTCACGGCTAATTTAAGTTTTCCTGGTCGGCTACAAACCCTGTCTAATCTAATGTTTATTGTCTATAGCATCCGTCTGGTACCACTAGCCTCTCTCCTCAACGTTCATGTTGTCCGTCCTCACTGCCAACCTCCCACACTTTGAGTCTCCTTTTTGCGATTCTCAAGGAGCGGCTGGTCGAGCAGTTAGTATGCTAAGCGTCTATTTAGAAGATCCATGGCAAATTTTAGAATAGAGAAGACCCATGTTCGGATCCTCGGTAAAGTATTCTTTCTTCAAAGGTCCTTTTGTCAGAAAACTTTTATCAGGAGGCCAGTAGCCTTTATGAAAGCTGTCATGCTGTGCATATCTTCTCGTGTACCATACACTCACTGTGGTTGGAACAGACCAGATTGCGTCTCTGTTGTCCACACACAGTTGACAGTGTTAGAGCACATGCTCAGCATTTTCGGGTGCCAGGCTGCAAAGACACATCTCCGTGATTCCTACACCGAAAGGTTAAAACATATGCGGACAACGAAGTCTGTTGTGCTCTCTGCTTTGTCTTAATAGAAAACAGCTACCGTTCTTAGATACTAGATTGTATCAATGTCTCAGTCTCTTGGTGGGTAAAGTCACTATTTGGTTGTACCATGTCGCTGCCAATTCTAGCTGATGTATCCGCTATTTCATATCCTTCCAAGACATAGTTACCTGGAATCCACTAAAGGTAAAGTGGGGAGATGTGAACCAGCGTCATTGCACACGATTATAATTCATAAGTGCTCTGCCACCAGCACGGACAGCTGTTAAGAAACTGTCCGCCTGTGTCACCGTTCGCACGTAACTCTGTAGCTACAGCGACGTTCCTCCATTTACCCCAGAGTGTCACTCTGGTACCCATTTCCTAGAGGCTGGGTGAGCCCTGGGAACCGCCCGGTTTCGATCACCGACCCTGGCAGCAGCGAGTCGCAGCTGGATTTGAAAGCGAGCCTCCTATCGGCTGCGCTAACGCGGCTCGCTTACCTGGAATCCACTGCAGTACAGATTGTTCTTCTGAAGAACCTAGATGAATCAGCTGTTGCGTCAAGTCTACATACTGTCTTTTGGGTTAACAATTGCTTGCAGAACACCATAACCTACTTAAGATGGAGGCAAAACCCTCTCATATGTTCTTCTTCTTCTTTGCATTCACCGGCTGTAAACTCCGGTGGAAAGTTCTGGTTGCTTGTCCACTTCTGGTCTGCAGTCCTGTTCCAGAACCTGAGTGTTGCGTGTTTTACAGATCTGACTCATTTGTATGCAGACTTCTGGTTCCTTGCCTCTCAGGCAGATGCACTCCGACTTCAAAGGAAGCTCCCAATTAGTCAACTCTGACGACATGCTTATGGGTAGGCAGTGGGTATATTCTTGTTTTCCACATAATAGGGCCCCGGAACCCACACGGGTAATCTCATATGTTGTTCTTTAATAAATTTTCTGACTGGTATGTCCTAGTCTTCTAATTTCTTCATTTTTGATTTTATCTCTTCTTGTCAAACCGGCAGCTCTCCTAAGACATCTCATCTCTGTTACAATCTTCCGCTCGTTAGATTAGTAAGGGTCCATGTTTGATACTGGCAGCACAATGTCGGCCAATAAACCGTTCTTATTAGATCTGCTTTGGTTGACATGGGTATCTTTCTACGGGTCAGAAGCGGTGTTAAGTGTCCCATTACCTGACTTTCTTTTGCAAATTTTAAGTTGATTTCTCTATCCTATTTTTTTCTGGTTTTCTGGCAGATGCTCGAGGTTTAGAGGAAAGGCAAGACGGACGTTTAATCAGAATGCTACTGGCACCATTAGTATTGGAATTCTTCACTAGCTGCTGAAGATGGGGACAGAGCGCTTATGTGAAGGCCCCGAGTGCTGTGATGTCCGTTCTTGGATCAAATCAAATCCTTTTTTTCATCTAAGGTGAAAAATGACCCTAGATATTTAAATTCCCTTGTTTGTTTCATTTCTGTGTTATTTACTTTTATTGATATGGTTTCTTCTTGTCCACCTGTTACCATTGCCTCTGTCTTATCAATGCTTATCCTCATATTATATTTCTCACACTTAGTATTGTCTTGGTTTATATGGTTCCGTAAACTCTCAGCTATTGATACTTGGTCATCTGCAAATAATAGTTCTGAGATATCATCTTTTTCTTCGTCTCTGCTTCTTTCCATATATTGTCGATGTATGTTATAAAGGCGGCTCTGTGGCTAAGTCGATGTGAACGCTTCGTAAAATGTAGGGATCGATCCCAGCTGCGGGCCATGCACCTTGCATTGGCTTCGACAGTGGTATCAAGAAAGCAATGACAAACTACTGGATGTAAATTTGCCTAGAAAAACCACACCATAGACAGCGGCTGGCTCTGCAACGTCCTGTAAAGGATACGCAACTAACCTTTATGTTATAAAAAGCTGGAGAGATAGCCCACATCTAAGTCTTACTCCTGAATTTACTTCAAAAGTCTGCGATGTGCCAACTTTTGTTCGTATGCAACTTTTACTTGATGTATATAAGCTCTTACACACTTCAGTAAGATTTTTGCTGATTCCGTATCTTCTTAAGCAATTCCACAACAGATTCTTATCCCCTCTATCAAATGCTTTTTCTTGGTCTATAAATGCGACTTTGCATGTCTTGTCATACCCTATTGCTCTTTTTGTCAACTACCTAAATGTAAATATTGCGTCTATGCAGCTTCTGTAACGTGTGAAACCCATCTGGGTTTTTGAAAGTTGTTCTTCTACTAATGGTCTTAATCGTTTTTCAATTAATTTGGCATACATTTTCCCTGTGTGGCTTAATAGTGATATTCCTCTGTAATTAGTGCACTCTTTCGTACTCCCTTTATTTGTCCATATCGGTATAATTATTGCTGTTTGCCAATCACCAGGTGTTTCTTGTTCTAGCCAGGCAGTCTGGGAAATTCGTCTGATCCATTTTGCACACTATAGTTGTTTATCCGTCACGTGCTACACTAATTTCAGAGCTAGAGGCAGCATAACGACCAAGTGTTTTCTGCAAAATTCAACTTGGCAAATTTCCATTCAGAATTTAATTTCTAGTTTTCCTACTATTACTACTACTACTAGATTCTACTTTTATTTCCTAATCTTTAATTCATTTCATTCTTTATTTATTCTCTGGAGTGAACATGGGCACTTGGGAACTGCACGCAGAGCCTTTGTGCTTCATGCATGACAGGTTGGCAACCGCTGAAAGACTTAAAAAAAAAAAAACACACAAAACAACAATGAAGCCACTTTTTTACAACATTTAAAACTAACAATACATCTGATTTTTTTTTTTTTTACTTTTATGATTCTAGCAAAAGGATAAAGCATGTATTGTATCAGTCATCTAAAAATAAATTAGACAAAAATAACAAACATAATATGTTTAATGTCAGTGAAATTACAGGCGAACAGTGGAAACATAATGCTGCCGTTTCTGTTTGCTCAGTCTTTCTTGAACTAATAATCCTTCCGCCCTCTAAATCTAGTCCGCATATCCAACTGTTGGGACAAAAAAAACAAGAACAAAATATTAACATTTTGCAATAAAGAAACCACTGTTTTGTTACGTAACTATTCTGACCAATTCATCATCATCATACATGAAAATGTAAAGTCAAGGACCCTGTTTCTTGATAAGATTAGTCAGTGTAGTATGAATTTAGCAACATTTTAAATGCAGTCTAACGTATATGAATTTAGAAATATTTTCCAAATACCCGATACGCCTAAGGGTGTAATAATGGATCTTTACTTTCTTTACATACTTTTGCAATATAGGCTTGGGGTCTTTGAGCCAAAGGATTTAAGGCTGCATGGCTAATGTGGCAACCGTGTATTTCTAGAATGACAGCCCAAAGTTCGTAACCATTTTGCCATCTCTGGCTTGGCTGCGTTGAAAACACTGCCATAGTTATACACAATGGTTGCTTCAAAAAAGTCTGAAAATGCTCCAATAGTAACTTACCATAGACCGCTTGCACTCAAAAAATGCCACCCTTAGCCTCACACATTCATCTTTGATATGTTCGTCATTCATGCACTGTCTGGGAGTTTTCTTGTCCTGTTTAATGAAACAATACCAATCCTCATTGTTCGCATTAATAAAATGTTGTGCTACACAATAATTATTTTAAACAAATATAAGTAAAAAAAAATCGTGACATGTGATTTCATTGTTCCTCTTTTTCTTCTTAGTGTTCACCGGCTGTATAAACTCCAGCAGAAAGTTCTGGTTGTTCGTCCACTCTTGGACTTTGGTCTTAATTCAGAACTTAAATTTGTTAAACAGATTTGGCTTATCTGTATGCAGACTGTTGGTTCCTAGCCTTCCAGGCATATGCACTCTGACTTTGAAGGAGACACTCCTTATCAGTCACCTCATACGACATGCTTGTGGAAAAGAAGATAGTGGGGTAGGAGGGGGTGGGAGGCAGTAAGTCTATTCTTTGTTCTCAAAAATGGAGCCTAGGAACCAACCCAGGGAGTCTTCATCATTTAATATAAGTTAAGTTAGTTGTGAATCCTTTACAGGTCGTTGCAGAACCAACCAAGCATTTACTGTTTCTGGGTGGTTTTCCTAGACAATTTTACAGTTAGCAGTTTGCCACTGCTCCGTGAATGGCTGGCACCCCTATATCATCATAAAACATTAATGAAAAGCAACCTGCTACCAAATCGCTTTAAAAAAAAAATCGAAAAAGAACTGGGTTTTTCTGAACTACAAAGCATGCCGGGCAACTTCGCCTTCATCTTCTGCATCCGCCTTTAAAAGGGTGGTTGGCACACTGTGTTGTGGTTTGCAGTCAGGCTGTGATATCTGAGATTTTCTGCTCAATACACCCACTTCCAGCAAACCTCTAGTTAACAACAAGCAGGTTAAAGGGCAGAGGGATTATTTTGTCCCCCTCCAAGAATGGGACCCCAGATCCTGCATGGAAACTTGATATCTCTAAATGTCCTACTGCCATTAAAGCTCCTTTATCCTGTTGTATTCTTGAGGTTTAGGAGATGTGGTTTTAAAGAAGAAAACTTAGAATTTTGTGGACAGCCAACAGAAAACAAAAACTAACCCAGATGTTTTGAAAGAGGTGAAGGCTCGATGACAGCTTATCACAAAAAAATCAGACAGTCATCATTTTGTGGCCATGTAATGAGAAGAGGAAAACTGGAAGATACTGTGACAACCAGAAAGATCTCAGGAAAGAGAGACAGACAAAGACAAGGTGAGAAGATTTTTATCATGGCATCAAGAGGTGTCAACACATGAACTGATACATGCAGTTGGTGATCACAGACTGTGGAGAGGTATGATTGGCCCACCAGTTGGCAGGAACTTGATAATAATTCTGTTTACATCTTTGTGTCCCCACAACTTTTTCTACATCGCTACTTTATTAACTACAGGTGCAGGAAACATCGCACTGGTTCTTACCTTTCTACAACAGTCACTTTTGAGCAAACACTCAAGGAGATCATCTCGGACATTCTGACAAGCATATTTCTTCTTCTTGCTGATCTCTTCAATATCTTCATAATATTTGGGCATGTTCCTGAATGTTCCTAAGAGCAAGCAAAAGATGTAATTCTTTAATAACTTCATATCTGGACATGTTTCTATGAACATCCCCCAAAGCTTATAACTATGCTGCTGAAAATAATGTATTTTTGGAACACTCTGAAAGGGGAGGGGAATGACTCGTCTCAACAGAATGCCGCTAAATTCATCATCTCAATAAGAAGATAATACTCAAAATTAGGCAAAGGAAAAGGAGAAACCTATTTTTATAAAGTTAAGTAGCCAAACAGGAAATCAAAACAGCAGTCTGTAAAGGCACAGAAACTCAAATGATTTTTGACAAAATGATAACTTTGAGGAAGAAACTGGTAAGCTCTGTAGAAGCTTGCACTGTAATTATGAATACTAGGTATACCGTATGTAATCAAATGAGTTAATGGGTAGTCTGATGGTGAAATGAAGCCATTCATTTCAATAACGAAACAAAAATGAAATTAATAATAATATATCCATTACATATCGGCGTCTGTGGCTTAGGTGTTGCGAACGCTCTTTGTAATGCCGGGGTGCCCAGTTCGATCCCAGCTGTTGGCCTTGCGCTGGTTTCGACAGTGGTACCGAGAAGCTGACCATCCAGAAAACAAAGACAAACTACTGGACGTAAAATTTGGTTCTGCAACGTCCTGTAAAGGATACACAACTATCCATTACATACAATCTATTAAATACAGTTAGTACACTCCAGAAAGTTCTTCTTCACAGTCGTCCAACTGACAGATGCACTGTTTTCAGTATAACTACGATATCTGCACTAATCGCCTGATACATCAGACTTCTGCTGGCATTTGTTATCTGGGGTAGCTTGCCCGACTAGTTTCGTGGGACATCTGCTTCCTCATATGTGTGGTGACTTCGTAATCCCTGATCTACTTGTGTTGTCCTTAGAGGACCTGTCCAGGGCACCCATGTGCAGGCAGGTCAACCCGCAAGAGAAGGCAGGGGCAGAGCATGGACATCCCCTGCCATCTAATGATGCTTTCAGAAACACAGAGCCAACTCATGGTGCTTTGGTACAGAAGGTCATCCAAGGACTTGTCATTAGTGAGCATTCCACTGATTACAGGCAGCGCCTTTAAGGGATCCTCAGGAAGCAATCTGCAGACCTGGTTTCCTGCACTGAAGGGCATCTTTACTTCCTCAGCATGGGAGGCTTCTCTCTTTGATGATTGTACTATTTGAACATATTATTTAGAAAGGCTCCAGTGAGGCGTGACACACACACACACAACAGTTGGGAAACACTGGTTTAGGCCAATATCCATAGTGCAAGACAATGAAGTGTGGCCAGAATCTTGTACACTGATTCGTAAAACCAGCACAGTGCCTAAAGGTAAGGTACGAAGTACCTCATCATACAAAAAAAAACAACGGCCTTAACTTTCTCTCACAGCTTTGACTAAAATCACCGCACCACTTGTCGGAAGTTAAATACTGTACAAGCAAGTGACTTAGTTTCCTGCTTTATGGGCTGCAGTCTGACTCTGACATTACAGCAAGCTGAATCCATCAGAAGAACATCTCAGACACCTTATTTAACTTTCTAAGATGGATATAATTAGGACACACTGTGGCTACACACAAAGTACCACGTTAGCGCAGTCGATAAGAGGCGTACTTTCAAATCCAGCTGCGACTCGCTGCAGCCCACAGTCGGTGTTCGAAACCGGGCAGTTCCCGGGGTTCACCCAGCCTCTAGGAAATGGGTACCAGAGTTGACACTCTGGGGTAAATGGAGGAACGTCGCTGTAGCTACAGAGTTACGTGCGAACGGCGACACAGGTGGACAATTCTTATCAGCTGTCTGTACTGGTGGCAGAGCACTTATGTTTATAACAGTGTGCAATGACACTGGTTCACATCTCCGGACTTTACCTCTTTTTTTTTTTTTACAAAGTGCAGTCCTTGTGTGGTAAGGGAATAATAGTTTTATCAGAGTCCTAAGGTGAAACAACACCATTTATTTCAACAAACACTAAATTAATAAATTCTTTTTTTAACTTTTCTCATATGAACCCTTTAACAGATTCTAATTTGTAAACTCACTGTTAAAACATGGATATTACATGATCTAACAATCTGAACCAAATACACCGAAGTTAATATTTAGGTTCTTCTTCCTCGAGGATGCCATCTTAACCTGGATTTTTGACACAACTCAACAAGAATAAATCAGATACCCTGTTTAAACTTATAAGATACCCTGTTTAAACTTATAAGATACCCTGTTTAAACTTATAAGATACCCTGTTTAAACTTATATTATTCATAATAAAAACACCCTACTAACTATATCACTGCCATTACAAAATATCATTCTGCCGCAGCTTAATGTTTTTGGTGCATAGCTTCTTTTTTGGGTCACCGTTTTCTGTATTTGTCTTGCACTTCTCGGGTGGCTAGGGTGATGGATTTGTTCAACCTTTTGCAGGTTTCATCTACACCATTTATTTCTTGGTTTTCCTTTCAGGTGTTTTTCTATAAAAAGTCTCATGTTCTGTCTGGTCTGGCTGCATTTTCACTAGATGGCAGAACAATTTCATTCTTTGCCTTTAATATAGTCCAGACATGGTCTTACTCCAACTTTTGGCAACCCTCCGAATAATGGTCCTAAATTATCCAGGCCGGAAATATACCCTAACAGGGCCTCAGTCATATGTAAATTGCAGACCTCATTCCAGCGAATGAATATGCCGCCACCTCCGAGAGGTTTCACATCTAGCGTATGTTCTTCCTAACTTTTACTACCAGCTTGAAACCTTACAACTGATTCCACTCCCTGCTTTATTCTAGACCTTGCCTAGCCAACTAAGCATGTTAGTAACTATAACTACAACTTCTTATTGAAAAGATTTTATTTGTTCCCTATTGTCCTGTATGGTATGGGCAATTCAACTCTAACATTAACAACATTTAACCTTATAATATGAACAACGGATCACTGTCACTCTGCTTCACGCTAGACCCCGCCAGCCAACCGAGTACTACTACACTACAACAAGAACGTACTCTGCAGTTCTGGGTGGGTACAGTTCTTGGCAACTTGACCACCTTGTCAGTTACAATAGATCCCTGTCACAGGTCGCTTGTCAGTCCGATTCATTTCATGCTAGACCCCAGATAGCAAGGGTGAGTGACTTCCCTTAATGCGCATGCGCACTAAATGTAAACATCGCTGGTTTCCGGTTGTGTTGCTGGCGTTTATTGTGGTGATGTTGTATCCATGTCAGTGCGACTAGTAACTAGTGTTGTTACTGTGTGTATGTGTTTTTATTTGGGCCTAGTAACTAGGGTGACCATAATATCTTTAATTGAAAACTGCACATCCCACTAATATTTTGAGCTAATCATGTAATGCTTTACTTTTGAACTTCGAAGGAAGAATTCTAAATTTCTATGAGTATGAGACGAAGAAATATCTTCAGAAGTAGTTTAGTAGTTAACTTTAACAACTTACAATGACAATGAACAAAATTTGTTGTTCTTGCTTACACTTACGCTGATAATTTTTAATTCATTTCCGAAACATCTAAGTTAATTGCTTTACTGTTTTGAGTTATTATTACACGTTAACATCCGCAGTAGCTTAATCAACTTAATGGTTGTTAATAATATAGTTAATAATGCCTTTCCGTAGAACTCTACAGTCAGTGGCTTAAGTCTTAAGGAAGTGAGGACGTTCAAAAGAAACAAAACTTGCAAAACTTAGTAAATATAGAATACAAACAGATAGTAATAGTATACAACTATTAAAATATATACTGAGGTCAACGGTGCTGGACCTAATCCCATCTTCTATGATGTTGGAAGAATTGCGTAGGATCGAACAAAACAAAGGACTAGCTCAACAGGATGATGAGATGATAGCGTTTCGATTCATTTCCCAGAAAGCAACAGAATTTGTCATAATAGAGTATCAGAGAATTTGTAGAACTTTTTTGGTGTTGTCAATGCAGACGAATGGAGTTAGCAAGTCACCTCATATTTGAAGGCCTAACAGTTTAGGCCTCTCTGTGTGAATCCCTGGGCCCCATGGTTGGTGGGGGAAAACAAAAATAGACTCACTGCCTCCCCAAAAAGTGTTTCATAGGAGTCCACTGAGTGGGGGGGGGGGGGGGGTTTCCTTTGAAGTGGAAGTACATCTGCCTGAGAGGCAGGTAAGTCGTCTGTAAAATAATGGATGTGCATTCAACATTTAGGTTCTGGGACAAGATTAAAGTCCAGAGGTGGACAAATGGCCAGAACTTTACAGCCGATAAACGTGAAGAAGAAGAAGAAGGTATTCAGACCTTGACTGTGGAGTGGACAAATAGCCAGAACTTTACAGCCGATAAACGTGAAGAAGAAGAAGGTGTTCAGACCTTGACTGTGGAGTCTTTTATGGGACTACTTTCACATCAAGCTTAACCCAGCATTACTCATACTTTAATACCACAGACAAGTTAGGAAAGACTTTACTGTAAACAACCCCCATCCCCGCTTTGAAAAAAAATATTAAACTCTTTTGGTCAAAGTAATTAGTAATGTATGATTACCTCACAGGCTGCAGGAGATCACAGATTATGGAGAGGCATGATCACCCACGCCAGTCGGCAAGGCACATGATGATGATGGTTATATCTTCCCATTAAATTCCTAACCATCTTGTAATTTGTATCTCTTATTTCCTCTTTTTTTAAACATTGGTTAAATTGTCTACAAAAATTTTAGCACCCATGTAGCAGTTTTATACGGCCATGGTTGCATATTATAGTTATCACGTAATTTGTGTAATAAAACTTCTCGTAGGGATTCAGTATATCAGCTTATTTTTCTCCCTTACACCTGCATGACCTGGAGCAAAAAAAATTAAACTGATTTTTGTCAGCCATGACTGCCTTAGTCTTGAAGCCTTACTCAGTTTTGATCTTCAGAAGCATATTCATTGAATCACTGAGCTGGTATTCCTGAATGATGTTCTGTATCACCGAATAGATTATTATCATCCATGACCACGTCAGAAACTCCTTGCCAACATCTTCAAGCCTAAACCATCTCCATTTAATCCCCGGTAAGGGCTGCGATTTTTTCACATGGACTTGACCTTGTAGTTCCCACTGGTTTCTGGGTAGTGAGATCGGACGCCCGTATGCATTGTTGCGCACGCAAAAATTCACTTGGCTGTTGGAAATCGAAAAGAGTAGCCTAATGGTGCTTCCTGGGCAAAATTCGGAGTTAAAAATCTACCTAAAGCATTTCAAGATCTTCGCTGGTGCTACAGAGCCTGTGCACTGTGCACAGCTTCTTCGGACTTGAGTTAAAAGAAGAATGAAGCACTAAACCATCCTGAAGAACCAGAAGAATGGGTGACTACCTGTGTGCCATGATGTTGATCCATTGTTCAAACTTTAAACTTCCTGAACATACTCATTGGCATGCCTGAGGGTGTCTTATGTCTCCAGCCAGGCTGTTGCCTTAGTTTCTTTTTCTGGTCTCTGACCCCTTTTCTGCCTTTCAGCTTTAGGTTTTGAAGAGGCATCTAGGTGTGAGGCTTGGAGTAGATACTAGAATTCACAGCTTCAGATATTCCATCTGAGTATTGTTTGTGTGGGTGACCTGAAACACTGCTTCCATTTTGTCTTACTGACAAGACTGTCTGTGTTGCACCATCTTGTGATAATCTTGATATGTCTGATCCATTTGATCTGTTGTCTCTTGATTAAGTTTATAAAAGGAGTAGAAAATTATAGGGAAGAGAAAAAGTTGGTAAGAAACAACAAATAGTTTCTGTTAGCTTTACAAAATCGATCACAATAAACAAATAAAGGACGTTGCGGCGATTAGCCTTCATCAGCACATAAAGAACAACAGTACACATACACAAATGTGCTCTAACTATAAATAGACTACATAGGACTCTAATGTTAAAAATAAATGATACTCATCTGTGTCCCTGGCGAAAAAACGTCGTACAAGAAAATGACGGTCAGCTACTAGCCTATTATATCTCCAACACGCAGGCGGGGGACGGAAAATGGTGCGGAGTAGACGCCAACAGCGTACACTGAGTGTCTAAAGAGGGAGGAAGGGGTTGTCCTATAGGGCGTAACCAGGGTTGGGTTGTGGGGATGACATTAGTCCATTTGCATGGAATGAAAGTGGTGCCTGCGCTAGCAAACAAATACCAACAGATAGATAGATAGATTAGATAGATCGAGGATGGTGGGGTGAATGGATGAGTGGGTAGTGCAATAGATGGGCGGGTAGACAAATAGACGAAATGATAGATGGCTATACTCGTGGATGGATGGAAAGTATAGTAGATGGATGTCGGCCGATATATGAAATCAGATAAAAACAAGGGTCTCAAGACACGATTCTTCTCACTTACTGTCAGCTATGAGTAAGGGTGATTGTTATACAAAGTATCAGTCGAACCAAACGCAGAACTGGTTAAAAAACAGAATGTAAGGGAGCAATGGAAATATAGCTAGGGTGGATGGTGAGGTTAGTGGGTGGTGAGATAGATGGGTGGGTGGATGGCTATATTAGTGGATGAATGGAATTGCTAATATATAGAATCGGGTAAAAACAAGGGTCTCGTGATAAGATGCTTCTCTCTTACTGTCAGATATTAAATAGAGACAGTAAGGATGCTTGTTATACAAAGTAATCAGTCGAGCCCGAGAGTAAAACTGGTACCAACCAGAAAGTAAAGGAGCGATGAAGGGATAGATGGGAAAACGGCATGTGTGGATGGTGGAGTGAATGGGTGAGTGTGTCCTGGATATATGGGTGGGTAGATGAATGGATGGAATGATGGATGACTATTTGTGGATGAATGGGATGGATGGATGGATTGACCAAATATGAAATGAGGTAAAAACATAAGTCTAGTAACACAGTGCTTCTCTCTTACTGTCAGCTATCAAATAGAGACAGTAAGGGTGATTTTTATACAAAGTATTAGTCGAGCCCAAGTGCAAAGCTGGTAACAGCCAAAATGGAAGGAAGCTGTGAAAATAGCATTGAGTGAATGATGGGATAAATGGTGTGGGTAGATGAATGGGCGGGACGATGGTTACGTTCGTGGATAGAAGCAATGGTAGCTGAATGGACGGATCAGCCTATATATATGCTGATATATTTAATCAGGTAAAAACAAGGGTCTCATAATGTGATGTTTCTCTCTTACTGTCATCAAGCAAGTCAAGACAGTAAGGATGATTGTTATACAAAGTATCAATCGAGCCCACGCGCAAAAACATTGTGTTGCCTGAGATACCTGCTGTATAGGTAGCAGAGACTAGTGATGTATTGTACATCGGGTAGGCATGCAAAGAAACGTGGGGAGCGATGAATGGATGGACAAATCGATTAATAGGCTCAGTGGATCGGGATGAATGGATGAAAGGATTTATGAATGGATGGGTAGATGTATGGATGGATGGGTCTGAATGTATGTTAATCTGACATCGCGTGAACAAGGGTCTCTTGAAGCAGTGCTTCTCTCTGACTGTCAGATGTCACACAGAGACAGTAAGGATGATTGTTTTACACAATATCTGTCGAGTCAGAATTGCATACCCCCAGTATGTACAAACACTTACCATCTCGTTAGTCAAAACGAGATATGTACACTGTACAAGAGGAGTACGTTCAAACACTATCACGAAATTGTTCCACATTAGGACAGTGCATCCATATGTAACGGGAAAAATGGATGGATGAATGAAAGTTTGGATGAATAGGGGAGAGAAAAGAAAAGAGAGAGAGAGGAAAAATTTTTAAAAATACAGAAAGGGGGAGAGGAAGGGGAGAAGAGTAAGGAGAGGGAAGACCAGAGAAAACTTGGTATATACATAGAGAGAGAGAGATGCACACTAGTATCCAAGTATATAATTCATTGTCAAGCAGCCAGCAACATAATCTGTTGAGACCTAGGGGATAAACCTCATAGTTAGAGAATATCATGAAAGTCCGAAACTAACGTACAACATAGGATGGGCGTGGGTGTAGTGGGGAGGGATGGGGAGGAGGGGGATACAGGTGCGTTACCGGGACACTGGTAATTTATATGAAGCTGTGTTGGGTGTTAAGGCCTAGTGGTGAGAGGTTACCCATCAAATATATAAGTCGGTTTTCCAAAGTTTTCCGATGTCGATCGTCAGATGAGCAGGATCTGATGGCCGTGATCTGAATATCAGTGGTCCCACGAAGATCAGCGCTGTTGAAATGAGTGGAAACTGGCCTTGCTGTTTGGTTTGTGATGTCATGAAGGTGCTGGCGAAACCTGTCGGCTAAGCGAAGACCGGTTTCCCCGATGTACTTGATGTTGCACCGTTTGCAGATGATAGCATAGATGACGTTCCTACTAGTGCAGGAGAATTCCTCTTTGATGCTAAAGGTGCCTTTAGGAAAACTCACATCTGAAGTATTCAATACGTATGGGCAGGTGTTGCACTGAGATCTAAGGCAAGCTTTAGTACCCGGATGAGTTGGGGCGGGTCCCCATACTCTGCTGTGTACCAGTAAATCTCTGAGATTGCGGTCCCGCTTATATGCCAGTAGAGGTGTCTCTGAGAACACAGCGTTAGTTACTGGGTCCGCTCGGAGGATAGACATATGATGGAATAGGATGTTCTTGATAGCAATGTTATGAGGGTGGTAAGTTAAGGAAAGTATGGGTCTAAGGTTCTGCTGTTTGTCTAAGGTTCTGCTGTTTAGGCCTAGGGATGAAAGCATCCACCCGACTGATGCTCTGTAGCGGTGAAAGCAGATTCTAAGACAGACGACTCAAGATACACGCGCAATTGGAAGAAATCCATTATTTTATGGGCCCTACTATGAAAGTCATCATCATCCTGGCATAATCGTCTAAGACGCAAGAGTTGCGAGAAAGGAATGGCGTCCTTACAAGACCGAGGATGAGAGGAGTCATAGAGTAGAAAGGCATGGGAGTCTGTCGGTTTATAGTAGACCGATGTGGTGTACCGTTTTCATCCCAACATGTTTCCTCATATCATAATTTATGATCCTGTCTCTTTTTGTTGCATTTTGTTACTGCCACGACAAATGCTAAAGCAAATGGGCCATTAATATGTTCATCCACAGATAACCGATTATGATGGCGGCCCATGCCAAAATATCTCCTCCAGTTTCACCAACTCCATTATCACAGCCTCTGCCGCCATTTCTGTCAAGGTCAAGCAGCAATGGCAGTATTAGCTCAACCTTACAGAAGAGAGATGGCCAGTTGACAGCCACAGCAAAGAGCCAAAAATATTTCCGCCGGCTCCTCAAATTTCGGCAAATGGATTTTGAATATGCCTTTTGGCAAATGATTTATCTGTTTGTAGCTCCACAGAAAGTGTAAGTTCACTCTTGCATGTAAATATTTATCTATCTCTCTGCACACCTACCTGCCCTGATGACTGTCTCTTTGTCTGTTTATGTCTTGGGGTTTCTTAGCAAAAGTTAATGGTCGACGTTTGGTGCAGGAGAGCCTAGCAAATGATACCACAACATCTAGCTTAAGAATGGAGGTGGAGGCGGTCACTGCAGCTTTCTGCTGGTTAGAGAACATAACACAGACACACATCATAATTGTAACTGACTCAGAAAGAATGCTGAGGAAGATCAGAACAGGCATGGTTCACTGCGGAGGACACGGGTGAGGAGTGTTATCTGGATTTTTTCACCGGGGTACGCCGGTGTGTTGGGAAATAAACAGGGGGCAAACTGGCTTGCTCTGCACAACTTGGTGGAATACTGATACACGATAAGGCAGTCGTGGTTAGTGCCTTGTGGGGGAGCGTGTACAGTTCGGAGGAGCCGATGGATCACCACAGACTGGTGAGACTGATGCAGGGAGGAGTGATGAGAGGTTCTGGCAAATACTCAAGGCTTAAAGGAAAGGCAAGACGGATGTTTAATCAGAATGCTACTGGCACCATTAGTATCGGAACTCTTTGCTGGCTGTTAAAGATGGAGACGGAGCGCTGATGGGAATGCCTCAAGTGCTGCGATGTCGGTTCTTGAATCAAATCATATTGTGTGTGTCTAGCCATCCACCCACACCAAGATATCTATTATACCCCTGTCTGTTTATTTCTGTACCTAAATTATCAGTTTACAACCTTTATCATTTACCAGCTATCCTCTCTACACATCTGCTTACCTATCTTGTGGATAATAGAAGATTTAAAAGGACGATTCACCTTATTTTTGTTCCACACAGAAAAAGAAACAGCTCGGCCTACTGAGAAGAATTATTTGGCACTGTTTTTTTTTCTTTAAATGTAGCTACTATGTTGAATTATTATTATGTTTTAAGTTTGTGACATCATTTTGTGTGTGTGTGTGGTTATTATCTTGTTTTATTTAAAGTGCAGCTGGCTAGAAAGACAATTTAGAAATAAAATTAAAAAACATCTCAAGACAAACAGAGGAATTTAGGTGTTTGGGTGCAAGTTTCACATCCGAAGAAAAACTGGACAGAGAATTAGCTCGAGATGTGCCAAAGCTAATCAAGTAATGGGGCAACTATCTCTCCTGTTGACACACAAGCAGATACCTCGGAGTACAACACTATGCTATCAGTGCCAAACGTGGACACTTACATCCTCGAATGAACGTAAAATTATGACAGCGAAGATGAAATGCCTTAGAAGAGCTGCAGGAGTTTCAAGGAAAGACAATACAAAATCAGACGAATGCTAGGAATAAAGCCAGTCTTACAGGTCATCAAAGAACAAAAAATAAAGTGTTTTTGACACCTAACAAGAACGCCCTGGTACTATTTGCCACAACGAGCCACACTAAACGTTACAACGGGTATAGAGCGAGTGGAAGACCTGGAAAAATATGGAGTGATGGCATTAAGAACAGCCTTACAGAAATGAATCTCAGTCTTAATAGGCTCTTGATGAACTCATCAACGAACGTTACATCTCCCCCAGACACCGATGAGGTACAAGGTAGAAGAGAAGAAGAAACTGGCTAAACAATTAGAACACTGGACTTACATGCGGGGAAACCTGGGTTAAAATCCTGTGTAAGACGATAGATATTGTGGTCGTCGTGAGACAAAAATAAAGAACCTGCACAGTTCAAGCAGCACCAGCAGTCCTAAAACTTCAAGCACAAACGCCCTTCACATGCACTGCCCTAAAAGTGGTGAATGCAGGTAGTAATTCAAGTCAGAGCAATGTTTCCCCAGTGTGTATTTGAGCACAGAAGACAGAGATGGCAGACTGCACAAATTATTGCCTGGCCTATTTTGCTATACTTCATAGGGTGCATACTAAAGTAATAATTAAATAAAATGAAACAAACAAATGGACCTTCTACAACTGAAATATTAAAAATCAACCACACTGAAAAGAGACCGCCCATTTTACCAGAGTGAGCACAAGTTCATGACCATGTCTTTTTGTTGGAACTTTGGATGGAAGCAATTAATCATGGCCGCTTTGAGTAAGTAAAGGATTTTACCATTGGTCGACATATGGTAGAATTATTGGATACTTATCTGTGTGTATTTTGCAGAGCTTCCTAGTTTTCTCCTGTCATTCTTTTCTCTTGCCATTTTTTTTACAGGTACAGAAATTTCCAGTACAAAAAATGTGAGTTGAAATTCTAATCACAGCATTATTCGACTTATCGCCATTTTCTTTTTCTAATAATATTGCGAATAATACAATAGAAAGACACCACACAGTAGTAATTTAATAAGGAAATGATGTTTCTTGTGTAGTTTTTATTTAAATAAGTGAATGGGATTTCTTATTTTATTTTTTAGTTAATGGATGAAATTTCTTGTTTAGTTTTGTTAAATTAATGGGTGCAGTTTATTGGTTTATTTTCATTTTTTTAGCCCTTATTACTACGCAGGACTCATGTCAATTTATGATTGTTTTCAGTCTTTCTTTTCTCTTTCCTTTCAGTAACTAAAGATCAGTGGGCTAGAGATGATCCAGCATTTCTTGTTCTTCTGGCATTCTGGCTTTGTGGTGAGTGGGTGATAAGTAATTCATTACTGTGTCTGTACAACACTTGTTATTCAGCAATAATTTACAAATTTGTTTTGTTTTGTTTTCTCATAAATGTAAAAACTGCATTTACTGATTGTTTGATGGAGGTCATGTGTCTGGGGGTTTAAGGCAGCTTAGCTTGTGATTATAGGGTTAGGAACTTGTGTATTATGAATAAAAACTATGCTGCTGGAAATAAAACAAACTTTAAAGCCTTAGAGAAGTTGGAAGTAAAAAGAAAGCTATAGGAAATAATTGAAAAAAGAAAAAAAAAATACCAAATAAACATGCTTGGCTGGGTTTAAAGAGATATTTGTATAATAAAACAAGCTTGCCAGCTAGCTCATTATCCATTTGCAAGAATATAGACTGACCCAGCAGATGTATAATTTTTAGGAGGAAAAGGGTAGAACTTTAAGAGGTGTTGAAAGAGGTTTTAGTGTGATTTGATCATGGAATTCTACAATTAGAATGTCTTTGCACTGGAACTCACAGTGACATAGAAATAAAGGAAGAAAAAAAAAACACTCATTGAAAAGAGAGCTAGAAAGTGAGTTAAAAAGTAAAAAATAGGGAGGGCTGCATGCGATAGCGAAGGATAGAGTGAGCTGGATGACGGCCTATGCTCCATTGGAGGTTACAAGAAATAAAAAGAAGAAGAAAAGTCAATTCAAAGGCGCACTTCCTCTTAACAAGCATCTCATAAGAGTTGACTAATTAGGGGTTTCCCTCAAAGTCAGAGTGCATCTGCTTGAGAGGCAAGGAACCAACAGTCTGCATACAAAAAAGCTAGATCTGTAAAATGGATATGCACGCAACACTGGAGTTTTGGAACAAGACTCAGGTCCAGAAGAGGAAGAATAACTTTCAGCTGGAGTTTAAAGCTAGTGAATGCAGTAAAGAAGAAGACCTAAACCTCTTATAAAAATCATGCTGGAAGGAAAAGTGGAAGGCAAGCAAGCAAGAGATAGACAGCGATGCAAGTGGGAGGATAACATCACGAGATGGACAAACAGCTGTCTGAGACAGTGTACACTTAGAGTGAAAGAGCATGTTGGAGATCATTGCAGTCAATCTTCATTGTGGAGAAGGCACCTGATTGAACGAACGAACGAACAAACTTTATTTTCAAAGGGCTACAAATTGGGCACGCAGGCCCGTCTGACATTCGGCCCTTTTAAGCACTCGTTTTTCAGAGTACCAATGCCTGTTATCTAAAATGCATGTTATGGATATAGAATAAAAATATACATTATAGAATATAATACATACAACATGTGTACACAGTCTTACACACTCTCCCATTCTCATACATGCACACTCATATACCGACATACTTAGCACATACATACATCCATCCATACATACATAAACGCATCTACATATATACACAAACAGAAAAGACACACACATACATATATAGACATAAATGCACACACACATTCCATACATACACACCTACACATGCATGCATGCATACACACACATACAATCACATGTACAGACACCCACAACCACACATTTACACTCACATGTAAGCATACATACACACATACATACATACACACATCAATACATACACCTACATCTTTACACACATACATGCTTACATACCTAAATACACACATGTACACCCACATACTTATACATCTACAAATGCATACACACATCCACAAACATGCATACATACACACACCCACATACATGCAGACACACAATACATACATACCCACACATGCATGCATACACACATATATTATCACCCATACAGATACTCACATACATACATACACTCATGCATACATACATACTTGCCTACATTATGTACACACATACCCACAATCACACATACTCACATACAGTCACACATACTTACAACATATATACATAAATACACACACTTACAAACTTAAATATACATTCATATATCCACATGCATGCATGCACACATACACCCACAATCACACAAAATAACAAGCATTGAAACTTGGAGACATGATAAACTAATCAGAAAGCTGAAAAATAACATCCAAACACAGCACATGTGAAGCTTAATCATTGTGTTTTTATTTATTTTAAAAATTTAAATGGTATAAAAGTGCTCTAAAAATATCATGAACCAAATAGAAGAGGAAATATTGACGTCCTAAAAGATCTGAACATTAAGGAAAATTGGATAATAAATAGCATCTTGTCTTAGTAACCGAAATGTTTTGGCCATATCAAGTGCCACAGCAGATTGGAAAGAACAGTAGCAGAGGGCATGGTAGCAGGAAAGAGGAGCAGGGGCTGACTATCATAGAGATGGGCCCAGGAAATAAGTGATACTTTGGGTAGGAAACTGCAGGAGGTGAGAGATCTGGAAAGAGACAGGGTTTATTTTAGATGGGCTGTGGTGAGAGTGAAGGTCTCTACAAAGGACATGTTACATTATGAGGATGTGTGTTTGGATTGGTTGGTAGATTTTTCATTTTCTTGTTTTCTTTTCTTGTTGGGGGTTGTGATTTTGTGGCTGTATGGGTTAGAGCATAGCTTTTTGACTAAGTTTACTCAGGGACCAAAACTTTGGAAATAGTGATCGTCATGGGCCAGAGACCGGATCCTTAGCATAGAAAGATCATTAACACAATACAAATGGCAGCGATCTGCGGGTCACTTGCTAGCCTCCGTAGGCCCCAGTTGAATAGACCTGGCTTAGAGGTTAGTAAAATAGTTTCACAATGCAGTCCTCAGCGTTCACTAGGGTTTGATTACTGTAGAGGGCAGTTTAGGGAAAGATCATTCTTATGGCTTTCAGAGAGTGGATTAAGAGCCAGCCTCCATAGTGGAGACAGCATAATTAAAATATATATATTTTGGTTTTCATTTTGTTTCATTTGTTGATTAAAAAACATTTAATTTGTTAATGTGTATTTCTCCTCTCGTACTGGCACTGCCTAATCATATTTTGTTTGTGTTTCTGATTGCAGTTAAATAGCTATCACCCATGTATGGATACCATTCTCTTTACATATACTGACTGTCAAGGCAAGGGGTAAGCATGCAAGTGGCTATGCTACTATGGCTGCTGACACTGAACTGCCAGGTTAGCTTCAGATCTCTTATTAGAACAGCATCGAGCCAATTGCGATGCAAAGAAAGAAGATATACCAGTTAATTCTTATGGGGTACATTGAGCATGGAGACACTAATGGCTGCGGCATCTGCATGTTCTAAAAGGTGACTACTTAGAGATTCACTGAAATTGGATATGTTGAGCAGAAAGGGGCAGATATCACAGCTAAGCTGTAAACCAGAACAGTGTGCCAACTGCTCTTATCAGAATGAATACGGAAGAAGGACAGGATTGCATCGGTTCTTTAACTTATGAACCAAATTTTATTTTGTTATAGCTTATGTTAATTTTGTTTTCTTCTTTTATTTTCAGTATCATCTATTGGATTTGCCCTGATCCTGAATTTAGGATTTTGGGGTTGTATGAAGTTTTTGTTGTGGGTGATATTTATCGACTGTATTGGAGTTGGGCTGCTCATTGCAACTCTTTTCTGGTAAGTGGAGATTCATTTGATGGTTATGTCAGCTGAGGTTAGCTATTGCCACATTGTACAGCTATGCAGAAATAAGATTTTGGCGTGGATATGACTAAGCTTGTGTAACCGTATTTACGTGTGATTAGGTCACAGTATATTAACAGAAAATTATTGATCAAAAATAGGGTGCGGCTTAATTTGAAATATAAGGCCTATTTTAAAAAAAAGTAAAGTCAGGAGATGAAAACCAGCTCATTGCACACAGTTATAAACCATAAGTGCTCTGCCACCAGTACGGGCAGCTGATAAGAAACTGTCCGCCTGTGTCGCCGTCCGCACGCAACTCCGTAACTACAGCGTCGTTCCTCCATTTACCCCAGAGTGTTAACTCTGGTACCCATTACCTAGAGTCTGGATGAACCCCGGGAACCACCCGGTTTCGAACACCAGTCTGGGCTGCAGCGAGTCCCAGCTGGATTTGAAAGTGAGTCTCCTATTGACTGCCCTAACATGGCCAGATATTAGATGTTTATGCCACTGTAACATTTCCACAGAGACAGAAAGTCCACCTTCCCAATTTCTTGACATATTCTAGCAAATTGGTTTCTGCTTCTGAGTATTTCACCTTCTTGCCACAAAAACATTGTTATTGTTTTTTGCTAAAATTGTTGTCTTAAAAACTGGGTGCAGCCTACGCAAACATAAACACAGTATTTTGTGTTTGTATCATGATTAGTGTTACTGCACTTTGGCAGTTCTATTCAAGCTTAGTCTTCAGATGCAGCTGCCATCCCAAGGTACCTGTACTGCTTGCTCCCACGAGAAGTTGGTTATGATGCCCCCATCTTGTCCTCACATGCAATGTTCACATGCTTCCTCAGGCTTTACTTCAAAGTCATGTAATCATGTTAGCTTCAAGGATTTGTCATTAGCCGCCACCTAGTCCATACAGATTTGATGATATCGGCTCTGTCTGTATTTCTTCCTACACGAATTAGTGCACTACTTGCCAGCTGGTCTGCTCGTTCATAACTCTTTACTCAGACATGTCCTGATCTGTAAATCCAGGTGAAGGAGGTGAAGTGTAACTTGTAACTTCCCAGTGCTGTGTACCCACCAGAGTGGAGACTACGTGTTGGAATTTTCTGGAGAAGATTATTTACATTATAGTTTGGGTGTGATGTTTAAATATGACCAGGGATTTGTGTGTGGTATGCAGTACTTTTCTTTTTAAAAAAAGTTGTTTCAGTTTTCAATATTGTAATGAACACTTTGTGGTTAGTATTTGTACTTTTATTCAGTTCTCTCTTATAGCTTCACATCAATGATTCTGTTGCGGTAAAAAAACACACATAAAATAGCAGCTAACCACAGCTATAAGAAACAACAACCAAATAGGATAATTTTGGTGCATAAAGAAAAGGTAGGCATATGTGCAACCCACTGCAGCTGCACAGTGCAGGCATACATGAATTTGAAGAGAGTGGCAGAGAATGGCTATTGCACGCTCAAGAAACATCATAATCAACCCTAAGGCATAATAATATTTGTGCTAAAATTCTACCATTGTGCATTCACCAATTGATGCAGATGTTCCAAAAATTATTTCTCACCTGTAAGGGAATATAAAGGGATGAAATTATATATTAAAATTTACTTCATTCTTAACATAATGTCAGATTTTTTTCTGGCATAACAATTAGAATGCATTTTTTGCTAATTCGAGGTATATAAATATACGATAATCTTTGCTGGATTGCCTTTTAAGAGTTATACAGCACAAAACTGAAATGCAACTAATCTACCTTTCACTAAAACATGTATTTCTTATGTTTGACATAAATTCCATAACTGTTGCACTGAAACTGCACTACAAAATTAGTGTGTGGATTGTTTCCAAGTACGTAAAAAGTTGTTAAGACTTAACTAATGTTGTTAGGGCACTTCACACCAGCAAAATTTAAAAAAAATATGTAAAATTTGTTCCGTTACCTAACATAAATTATTTAGGTTATGAACATAAGAAGGAAAATGTCTGTTTCGATGAAGGACTAAATATTATTTTTTAAATAAAATATTTACTTCGAGGTGCAAATAGGAGCCCATGCTAAAAAATGCTCTGTAATACTGACCCGCAGGGATTTCCCTCTAGAAATAAAGGGGTCACAAAGTATCTTCTTCTTCTTTCGTTCGCCTGAAATAAGTTGTCTATATCAGCAATTTTTTTCTCTTGTATAAATTTCACTGTCATTGTTGGACAAAGTGTCTTTTAAAAAAATGCTGTACTAACCACAAAATGTCTTTAAAAAAGATTCTGTACTCACTACAAAGTGTCTATTACTGGAAAGCTGAAAATTTGATGTCCTAAACGTGCCGCTACACTTTACCATTGCATACCACCAGGAAAAAAAATCCTTGTTGACACTTAATAGTACTTGCTGCAAATTTATGTTCGCATGTTTAACTTTGTGTCATTATTAACCAGCCTCTCATACATAATTTATCATGTTGCCAGGTTTATCACGAACCATTACATGCTGGTCAGTCCACCAAGAGGTCAGGATGTTGAGTGGGGGTACGCCTTTGATGTCCATCTCAATGCGTTCTTCCCACTGTTGATGATTTTACACTTTTTCCAGCTGCCATTTTTGAACCGTAAGTGCATTTTTTAAATAGATATATCACATGTTTTTAGATATATCACATGTTTTTAGATATGTCACATGTGTTAATCAAGCAAAGGACCCTTTGCGTGTCAATGAAGCATCGGACATGTGCAGCTAAACCATTGTTTTGTTTAGACCAATCAACGCTCATGGATATTATTGTCAACATCACAGAGGCCACCTTTACTTCCAAGACATTTCATAGTACCGGTAAAGCTTGTATTAACCACATGTTGCAGTGATGGACATTCTGTGTGGTTTTCATTGGGACAGGAATAGAGTAACTGTGTGATGACCCGTTGTGAAGAAGCTGGAACTGTGATTACCTGATTACTAGACTGACCTAGAAGATTACTAGACTGACCTAGAAGATTACTAGATTGACCTAGAAGATTATACTAGACTGACTTAGAAGATTACTAGACTGGCCTAGAAGATTACCAGACTGACCTAGAAGATTACTAGACTGACCTAGAAGATTACTAGACTGACCTAGAAAATTACCAGACTGACCTAGAAGATTACTAGACTGACCTAGAAAATTACTAGACTGACCCAGAAGATTACCAGACTGACCCAGAAGATTACTAGACTGACCTAGAAGATTACTAGACTGACCTTGAAGATTACCAGACTGACATAGAAGATTACCAGACTGACCTAGAAGATTACCAGACTGACCTAGAAGATTACCAGACTGACCTAGAAGATTACCAGACTGACCTAGAAGATTACCAGATTGACCTAGAAGATTACTAGACTGACCTAGAAGATTACTAGGTGGGACGAGCAGTAGATCAGGTGGATATACCGACGTTTCTGTGAGAAAGAAGTTTGAAAGAATCGGATGATGGCTGTAATTATGTTGCAACCCTGACCGGACTACATGAACAGCAAGTGAGAATCTGACTTTGTTTAGTTTGCATTTTAACCATTGCTTTAAAAAAAAAAATGCCCCCTCTTAGTTCAACTGTAACTGTTGTGTCATTTACCTGCAGATGTGATCAACACACAGCTGTTCCTGTCAAGGCTGTTTGGCAACACTTTCTGGCTGGTAGCCGTATGCTACTATGTTTATATCACATTTCTAGGATACAGTGGTCAGTATATTTAAAAAAAAAAAAAAATTTTTTCTTTGTCCAAAAAAGATTGACGCCTGGTGGCTAAGGAGCTACTTTAAAAAAAAAAAAAATAATCGCAGAAACCTTGTTGAACTGAACAGGTTACATTCAGGTACCCTGTGGTTATGACATAACCTGTTGTCTAGTGTATGGTGGACTCTCAGCCCGTTTGTTTACCAAGTCTGCTTTGTCATATTTTTAGGATACAGTCAAATGTAGCCCTCTTTGCTTTTGATAAATTGGGAGAGATGACAAGTGGTCAAAGTGTCAGAGCAGAAAGCAGACTTGTGTAGGGCTCTAATCACACTTGGCCTGGAGTGTAGAGATTGGGCATGCAGGAGTGTTAGGAAATCTTATTTTTTGTGTTCGTCTGCAGAAAGTTCTGGTTATTCATCCACCTCTTGTCCCAGAATCCGAGTGTTGCATGCACATCCATTTTACAGACCTGGCATATATGTATGAGGTATGAGTTAGATTATTTTCACAGCACTCCAGACGCTTAGATTGCTCTCTCCACATATTCATCATCGTCAGTGGTTAATAGTGCCAGTCCTTTGTTGGTTAACAAGACTTTGTGTGCATCAGGTGTGCTTTTCAAGCTTGACTCTGCAGATCTTTACTTACAATTCTCGTTATGTTTTGTGGACATGTTGCTTCCAAAATCCTCAGAACGTCTTATCTCTCTAAGGGCAGTGACAATGTCTGCGTGATCCATGGGCTGGCCATCTTCAGTAAATGCAGCATCTGCCAGTCTATCAGCTCTTTTATTACCAACAAGGCCTGCATACCCTGGGACGAAAATGAAGGTAACTGCAAACACAGGAGAGTTTTGCAATGACTCAATCCACTGTCTGTAACCAACCTGCCTCGTCCAGCCGGATCATGCTCAAAGAATCACTCAGCACACACTCCTGGGAATAGTCCTGTGATCCCAGCCACACGAAAGTTTGTGTCACCGCAATCACCTCCATCGTCATGCTGCTGGTGGTCATGGAGAAGGCACCGCTGGCTTCTTGAACTCTTATGCTTGAAGAGCGAGCTGTAAATGCCCATGCATGTATGCAGACTGTTCCTTGACTCTCAGACAGATGCACTCCGATCTTGGAGGAAGCCCCCAACTGGAGGTACGAATTGATCAACAGGTCTGGAGAGAATGGTACAACTGGGAGTGACTAGAGGATCTGACTGACATTCTACATTCAGAAGAAAACCTAGATGGACATATAACACAGTTTGAATTGGAACACTTCACTGGCTGCTGAAGATGACAGAGCGCTTATGGAAATGTCTTGAGTGCTGTGATATCAGTTCATAGCTTAGCAGTGGGATAGCGTTGTCAGTAGATAGGTCACTTTAGGAAATCAATTGTTTGAACACATAACTTTCTGCTCACCATTCAACTACTGGATTCTTATTTTTAAAGTGTATGTCAACATTATATTGTCGCTTGCTAAATAACAAAGAAGTTTCATAAAACAATATTTTTTGGGGTTTGGAACAACGGAACAACATCAGGGCACACGGATAGTAACCCAAAAATGCTCCGTTCTCCTTCTAACTCAAGTCTGAGTCTGAAGAAGCTGTGCACAGGCTCTGTAGCATCGGCAAGGTTCCTGAAATACTTTGGGTAGATTTTTAACTCCAAATTTTGCCCTGGTAGCACCTTTAGGCTACTCTTTTTGATTTCCAACTGCCAAGAGATTTTTTATGTGCGCAAAAATGCATCCGGTCTTCCTACCCAGAGACCAGGGAAAATATAGGTCCAAGTCCACGTGAAAAAATCCCAGCCCTTACTGGGGATTGAACCCAGAACCTCTAGCACTCGAGGCGGACACCATGCCTCGAGACAACACAGCTCTCAACGATATTTTTTGAAATGGAGAAGCAGACATGGAATCACTAAACAGGCTCTGAGATGGGAAACAAGTGGATTTAGGAAATGACATCCAAGAGAAGCCAAGTCTTAAGAAAAATGTTATTGACAGAGCCCAAAGGTGTTGTTACCAGCAAGATTGCACAGAATAAACAGGGCTAGACTGCAAGCCCTATGTGAGGTATTGCAGCATAGCAAGATTATAGTAAGGGGTGAGTCCCTTGGTACTGCATGAGTTAATGAGATTATTTCTGTTTCTCTGCTTTAGCGCTTCCGTACCTGAAGAACACACGGACGTTGCTGTTTCCTATCACAGGAGCCATCCTCATATTCATTTTGTCTCTGGTGTTTAGCTGGAACTTTTCCTGGGTTTTATCTGAATTTTACCAATACCGGGTGATGAGCCAGTGATTTTCCACACAAGCTGGGCGATTGGAAGAGCATCAGCTTTGTGGAGCCAACTAAAGTCTGAAGATCTGTGCAGAATGATTGGTGTGTGATAAGACAGGGTAACAGGTTGTGGTGAGATTGACTAGCAAAGACTGAACAAATAGTTTTCATGGTGAACTTAAGTTGTTGACATTTGGATATGTACATGTGATTTAATGAAACGTGTTTTTTTTTGTGTGTGTGCCTTTAAAAGGTAGCTGGCATATTGTGGTTTAATGCTAGGCTGCAATATCTGCACCTTTTGGTCCAACACATCAAATTTTGACAAATCCTGAGTTAGTTGCCTTTTACAGCATGCTTGTTAGGGGGCAGTGAGTTATCTCCCACCCCCTCTGTAATGTGGTTATCTCCCACCCCGTCAGTAATGTGGTTATCTCCCACCCCCTCCCCCACATTCCAGTGATGTTAGCAAAATTGAATGAAAGGTCTAGATCAGTGGCTGTCAACCCTTTAATACAGGACCCCAAACAATTTGTTTCTTCACAGCTTCAATGAATATGTGATTTCCGATGGTCTTAGGTGACCCCTGTGAAAGGGTCCTTGACCCAACAAGGAAGGGTCACAACCTGCAGGTTGAGAATCGCTGGTCTAGATAAAGCAGGTGTGACAGAATTAACAATTTCAGGACCAGTAGATTTCATGAAAACAAAGTTGTTAAGGCATTGAGGGACTCTGTTTACACTGCTCGTGATTTGGGCAAATGATGTTGCATATATACATATGACTACATTGGATAACCATTTAGCATAAAACATCTTGTGTTTACCCCCAGAACCCAAAAGGATTGTTAGCATATTGTGTTGTGGTTTTAAGCTGGGTTGCAGTAGCTGCGCCTTTCGGCTTAACACATAGCTTTAGCACACCCCTAATTACAACATGCATATGAGGGAGCGCTGCGTATTTCTCACCTCCACCCCAGTGGAGCCCCGGCACCCACACGGTGAGGTTAGGAACCAAGCATTCACATGGGATCATCTGAAAAAGTTGCTGTGGGCATTAAGATGTTTATCATACCTCACAGAAAAATAATATCATGGAAATACAGAACCAAACTTGTCTCCCAGTCCGGTGCAGAATTTACAACACCCCCCCCCCCCCCCCCCCCCCAAAAAAAAAAACGACCTAAAAAATCTCTTACAGCTGTGCAAATATTGCAGTACTAACTTTTGTTTTACAGATGTAAGGGAATGAATACAAGCTACCTTATTATTGGTCTAAATTCTTTAGGTTTGATACCACATGATCAGATTTGAGGGAAAATGTGACCCTGGTTTAAAAAAAAAAGTGGCCCTGGTAAAATTTTTTTTATCTCGGCTTCCATGTCACCCCAGCCTAAAATGGACACTAGTAAGTGTCCTGGGAAGTAAAGTGGATGGCGTGATGTTGACATTCTCCATCAAGTGCGAATTGGTCTCTAAAAATAGAAGTCAGGACAGTTCTGGTTGTCGTCCACCTCTAAATTTTAGTATTGTTCCAGAACCTGAGTGTTGTGTGTACATCTGTTTTACAGGTCTGGCTTATTTGTATGCAGACTTTTGGTCCCTTGCCTCTGGGCCAGATGCACCCCTAATTAACTAACTCTTGGGACTTGCAGATTGACATTTTTAAATCTCACGATAGTGTGTTAAACCTTCAGTTAGCAGCCTTAAAGGGCTGATCACAGTGAATACCATTCGGTAGGTGGGCAACTAGCCACTGTTTCTATGGCTCCCTTTGTCCTATATCAGGGTTTACCAAATGTAAGTGTGTTGTCTGTAATTCAATATTTACTCGGTTCACTCCTCCACTTAAGCACATCTCAGAATATTCTGTTTTCTAATAGTGATTTTTTACATTATGTTTGCAATTTGCAATAAAGACATTGCAAAATATTATGTTAAAACTGTTTTTAGAAATCTGTTAATGTAATTTATGACATGCTGGTCTATACATTCACAACAAACAAATTGATGTTTTCAACTTTTAAAATGTGGGGTGGGGCAGTGCTTTGATTTCTTTTGGGTGTTAGAAGAAGCAAGAGCAAAGGTGTCCAAGAAAGCCCTATGATGAATGTCGAGAGAGGCCAGAGAATCCAGACCAGATTCAATATAAACTATATAACTGCACAGGAAATCGAGGAGTTAACTATGAGCCCTGTGCGATTCATAAACAAAACGTGTACCACTAGTGGAAGGGGAGGGAGGGGGTGTAAGGATTAAGGGCATGAAAATTTACAGTTTAAGCCCCCTCCCACCTGAAAAATCCATCCTCTTATTGAGGATTCGAACCCGCATGAAAGCCCAGTATTCTTAAGCATTTGGCCAGTCACTTCTTGTTTAAATGGTATGGATTGGTGAATGCATTTTAATTGTTCTTTCTTCTCCAGTTTTTGTTTCTCGGCTTACAGTTTGTATATTCAGTAGTTTTATGCCAATAAATGAAGATGACAGAATCATCCCGGTCTGATCTTTGGCAAGAATGGCTGTGTAAATAATGCTTTACTGTATTTCTTTCTAGTAGCAAACAACCTTGGACAGTAACTAACAATGATTGCTTGAAAGAAGCTAATGAAAGTAGATCTCTATATTCAACAATAAGAAAGAGACAATGTTCTTTCACCACCTAATGAGAACATCGTGACAACTGGAAAGATCAGTGGAAAAAGGGGTAGAGGCAGACTAAGAGAAATGATGCTGGATGGGCTAAAATGATGACATGAAGGGATACCATCAAGAGAGCTGTGGGTTAAAACGATGGCACGGAGGGATATCATCAAGAGAGCTGTTCTAGGCAACCAGGGATCGTGATTTGTGGAGACTCATGAGAGCCCACACTAATTAGCAGGGCACATGACGATAATGAGCCATCATCATTGACATACACATGCTGCTTTTCTTGACTGTCAACACATTTTTTATTGTTGGCAACTCTGTGTCTTCTGAGATGATGTTATATTGTGTTACAGGGTAGCACAGAAATTATAGGTGATGGACAGTGTGACTAGCAAGACCCTCTTGTGTTAAGTCAGGGTGGGATTTCAGGGCTATTTTCCATGGCAATGTGTTTCTTCCCAGATGCAGAACTGTCTGCTGGATTTCAGGGCTACTTTCCATCGCAGTGTTTCTTCTCAGATGCTGAACTATCTGCTGGATTTCAGGGCTACTTTCCATGGCAGTGTGTTTCTTCTCAGATGCTGAACTATCTGCTGGATTTCAAGGCTACTTTCCATGGCAGTGCGTTTTTTCTCAGATGCTGAACTGTCTGCTGGATTTCAGGGCTATTTTCCATGGCAGTGTGTTTCTTCCCAGATGCTGAACTGTCTGCTGGATTTCAGGGCTACTTTCCATCGCAGTGTGTATCTTCTCAGATGCTGAACTATCTGCTGGATGTCAGGGCTACTTTCCATGGCAGTGCGTATCTTCTCAGATGCTGAACTATCTGCTGGATTTCAAGGCTACTTTCCATGGCAGTGCGTTTCTTCTCAGATGCTGAACTATCTGCTAGAAACAATTATTAACACTAACATTCCCTCCAGGCAATCATAGCACCAACAGCAGTACAACTACAAGAACATACGCCACTCAGAATGCGACAACTACGATATTAAGAACATACGCCACTCAGAATGCGACAACTACGATATTAAGAACATACTCCACTCAGAATGCGACAACTACGATATTAAGAACATACTCCACTCAGAATGCGACAACTACGATATTAAGATCAACATAGACAAAACAGAAGTGATGACATTCTCCAGAAAAAGAAGAACCATCAATATCAAAACTGATGAATACCAGTTTAAGCAAGTGAAGGATTTTACATATCTCGGGAGCAATTTTGTAGAAGACGTAAGAATTAATAAAGAAATATAGTGAAGATGCAATAAAGCCAACCATGTTTTAGGCAAAATGGCACCAGCTGTAAAAAGCAAGTATCTGAATATGAACACTAAAAGTACACTGTTCAACACAATATTCTTACCAACACTGTGCTATGAATGTCAAACATGGACACTGTCTTCAGAAGACAGAAGGAAAATAGTCAAGACAGAAATGAAATGTTTACACACTATGCTAGGTGTAACAAGGAAAGATTGACTCAGGAACAACGATATCAGAAGCAGAGTCAGCACAGAACCAATACTGAACTTTATAGGCAGACAACAAATCAAATGGTCTGGCCATGTCACAAGATTGGCATCAGTCAGAGCACCAGAGAGAGCAATATTATACAGATACATCGGTAACATAGCCAGAGGTCCACCACACAGATTATGGACCCCAGAAATATCAGAGACACTGAAAAGTACTTAATATGAAGTGACCAGAAGGGCCCGTTCCAGAGATCTCTGCCCCGACGCTGCGAGGCGAAGATTCCCTCCAGATAGAATTCTGTATTCTCAGTATGCTTTTCACAGCCCTATTTATTTAGTATTTGACAAAAAAAGGGCCCACTGCTCCTCTTTCATCAAGTGGTACAGAACCAGCCAGTTTGTTTGCCTGTTCATTTCCCACCACACTCACATACTTTGGAGAAAATACCCATAGCACGCTTACTACCTCTCTTTTGGCGTGCCCAAAGAAAATGAACTGTGTTATTCTTCATATGTGAGTAACCAATTTCCTTTGTGGGTTTAATTTTTTTTTTTTAAAGACATCACTAGGGTGTTTATCGGTCCATTATATCATCCTTCTATAAAACCACACCTCTGCAATACTTCATATGATTTCTGTTTAACCTGCTGACACTTTCATACAACAGGCAGGATGTCACGAGGAATAAAACTACTATTTATTTTTTGGAAACAACTCAACATTTATTGTAACAACATTGTTTGCTGCCAAAATGGTTTGGTGAATGGTTCAGCAAAGTCAAGTTATGCATCAAGTAGGGTTGTTTATTTCTTAGCACAAATGCTAGAATCCCATTTACAACCCCTGTTAGAATGAAACTGGTGCTGTGTCCCTTCAAGTAGTCTCCCATTTATACCGCTGAATCCACTGTACAAAAGTGGATAGTTCCTCCACAGATCTGCGTCAATGGGGCGGATTTTCTGTCAAAACCATACATATGGATGTTTCTCCTTTAAACATTGCTTACAGATCATGTTTCAATCCTTTGGGATACACAACTTTCAATGCCTGTGATCTCTTGCAGGCAATCAGGTCCTGAATGAGGAAATGGGTCAGGTAAGAACATGTCCCAACAGTAGAATGATTCTACGGCAGCAAGTCACCACATGACCAGATCTCATCAGGCCAGAGCCACGTCTGCCTTTTTCACAGCTGGTGCTTGCTCCCCCACCATGAAGTTGTCCTAACAGACAGAAAAATAAATATATGAATGGACAATGTGGATACAACACATGGACATTGTTGGATAAATATAATAAACAATGTGAGATAAACCATGAATGGACAGTGTGGATACAACATGTAGACATTGTTGGATAAACTTAATAAACAATGTGGGATATAAACACATAAATGGGCAATATCTGACAAAAGAAATGATAATAGATAACGTGGGACAAACATGTGAATGGACAATGTTACATATATATATATATATATATATATATATATATATATATATATATATATATATATATATATATATATATAAGGGCGGAATACGAATAGTGTATCATCATCATCAGGTGCCTTGCCAACTGGCGTAGGCGATTGTGACTCGCCACAATCTGCGATCTCCTGCAGCATGTATTAGTTCGTGTGCTGACATACATCCATGCCATGCAACAAGACTGTCAAGAATCATCTCTCATTGTCTTCTACAGATCTTTCCAGGGGTCACCACATGTTCCACTTTCAATCTTTTCATAACATGGCCGAAAAATTATGACTGTCTCCTTCTGATGTCTGTGTTTAGTTGTCTTCAGGCTCCCACCTCTTTCAAAACCTCGTGGTTGCTTTGTTCTGTAAAACCACATCTCTGAGGCCTCAAGAAATTGTGTGGCCTGCCTACCGACTGTCCAGGACTCGCAGCCATATGTTAAAACAGGATGTATGTAGCAAGCAAGAGTTCTTTTTCTAACCTTCAATGACAAGGATATATTGCATAAGATGTTCTTCATTTTATAAAATGCAGTTTTTGCCTGTCCTATTCTGTTTCTTTTTTTCAGTAATGCATCTTCCATATGATGTTATCCATGTGCCCAGATACTTAAATTTCTGTACTAGTCTCAAAATAAAACCATTGACTTTTATTACACATTTAGGAATAATTATTTTCTTTGATACCACCATTACTTCTGTCTTCCCACTATTCAAACTGAGGCCCATTCTTCCACTTTCGAATAGTGTATAAAATAGATCTAAAAAAAAACATTCATAATGTCAAATGTGCGCTGAAATTATACTTCACAAAATGTAGTACAGAAAAGTAAACATTTAAAATCATTTTATGTTTTGCATCCTCCAGTCAGTCAGTCTGTGGTAACTAATACCTAGGAACGAAAGTATTCTTAGTTTTATAACAACTAAACTTGTAAATTGTCACTGACAGCTTAGTTAATGCATGAAAGTGACTTGGGCAACAGCAACTATCGCAGTGTATGCAGAAAAGGATGTAAGGTAACCACTATTCATATTCAGCCTGAACGCAAGTATTCGGCAGAATACCAAATAGTTATTAGGCCCACTATTCGCCCCCAAAGCGAATATTCGGTACAGCCCTAATATATATACATACACACACACAAAGGGAAAGGGGAGCGGGGGGCAACAAAATCCATAATCTGTTTAAATCACCACTATCTGCTGGTATGAGGGCTAAAATATTACAGTGGTTGGGGCATCAAAAGAGAATAGCAGATAGCATGGGAATAGACCATGAGGCAAGAGGAATTGTGGAGAGATAATATTCAGGCATACCTACAAACACTTGGAGTAACCAACTGGAAACAAAGCCATTCAGAGATGAATGGAGAATGAGTGATTATCAGCAGCAATGAGCCTCAAGGTGAAGGAGATTGGCATGGATTCTTCTGATGAGCTTATTTTGAATAATTGCCAGTTCCTCACAAATGTTTACTAGCACAAATGCTGTGTTTCAGGTATCAACAAAATTGTGACTGACACAACAGCCAGCCCCAAAGTCAACCTTTTTAGAATTACCACTTAGGATCGGATTGTTCCGTTGTGGACTCCATGGCCCATTGTTGGGAGAAAAAGAGTTTCTTAACATGCATGTTGTAAAAAAATGACCACATAACCCTGTCATCGTGGGAAAACTGTTTTTTGGGTAGTAACCAATACAGCAATATAACAGCTTCAGTACTAGCACATCAGCCCAACCCCATTCATACTCCGCCCTCTGATGCAGCAGCCATCTCAGTGTCTCTATACAGGAGTCTGACTGGCATATCTTCTTTCCGTGTTTAGTAACTAGTTTCTGCATGGTTGTCCTCATTAAATACCCATTTCCTACAGGCAATACCCTTCCTGATGCTTATAAAAACTGCCCAAAAATACATTTCTTCTAGTTTCGGAGGGTAGAGTTAAAGTGAATTATAAATTTTTTTTTTTTTGTTGTTTTTGAAAAATGCTTTTTTTTTAAAGATGTTAGGTGAAAGGGTTATGGGTTTTCTCCACATCTAGTGCATTGTGCAGAATGGTGCAAACACTGAAGTCCACCTGTACAACAACCACACAGTGTGTCACACTTTTAAGGGTGAACCAGAGGAGGGATAAAGTTGTTAGGATAGTGTTCTTATTCTGTTTCCTATAATTTCGCCTGTAACACAGAAGCAATAACTAACTAAAGAGTGACAGCTTATTTCCACATTCACTGGACAGCTAGGCAGTACTGAGAATACTAACTGCCCATATCTGAAGCAGGAGTGACCAGGTGATCTGACTGGTGCTCAGTGGTCAGGGTAGGGGGAGACGGACATACAGAAGCCCATTTTGGGAGAAAAAGATGCATGTTGTTAAAGATGAGAACCAGAGGAAGCCTTTTTTTAATAGTACCTTCAAAACTGGGGACGGAGCACTTATGGGAATGCCCTGAGTGCTGTGATGTTGGTTCTTAACTCATCAGAAAGTGGCATTCTACACTCTTTGGTCACATCATGGGGAAAATCTGAGGGGAAGAACACGCAGAGGGGGACCCTGAAATAATATGCTGGATAGTTTCACAACACGGCATGAAAGATCACCTGACAGAAGTAACTGAAGGCAAAGCTTTCTTTCTCTAGTGAAACAGGTGCCGGTACCCATCACAGTGTCTAAGAAGGTGCTGGAACTCACCACAAAGTGTCTATTTTCATAACAATGAAAAATGATGCCTTAAAAGAAAAAAATGCTGGTACTGCATACTGTCAGAAAAAAGCTCGGACTACATAAGACAGAAGTCTATGCACAGACAAAACCACAAACACCTTCAGCATGGACTATAAGAATTATTAAGAAGAAGACTGAAAATACAGATGGCAGAAATCACATCGTAAATATAGATCTACTGTGTGTAAGAAATATCCACACATATTTCCATAGCCATTACTAACATATTTATTACCCCACATCCACACATTTTAATTTAGCAGTGACTAAATGTTTGTCATACCTTGTCATAGATCACTCTGATGATCAGGGAACAGCTGGGACACTTGGCCGTCTCTTCTCCACATTCCAGCTCCTCCTGCAACGATCAAGAATATTGTTTTCATTTAAATCAATTTTAGGGGTGTGGGGGTGGAGGGGGGTGGCATGGTATAAGAAAGAATGGACCTTAGAACTTGGTGACATATCTGGCAAGATTAATCAAACAAGAGCAAGGCAGTGGCAAAGACCTGGTCTGGTCAAACGGACAGTGGCAGGACACTGGTTAATTTGCGCGAAGAATTTATTCATTCGCCATTGGTCATCCATCTTGCTAGGCTGCTTCCATAACGGTGAGACATTTATGGGCTTCTCTTCACCCGGTTACCTCATCCATGGTATCAGATGTAAGGTTCTTCTGTCTGCACTGTGTTGAATAAGTTGATATTAATTTATTTTAGGCTGTACTTGATGCGATCGGCCTTTTTTTTTCCCCATATAGTTTTTCCCTTGGACTATATTCGTTATACTTCTGTGTGGCAGTTGGTACCAGGTCATTCTCGTCAGATGGCCAAACCATCTCGTCAGTTCAAAACAGACTGACTTCATCAATATGCCACCACTGCTGCTATCAGGAAGCGATCTGGATTTTTCCAGCCCCACTCAAGACAAAGCTGTGTGGTACAGATGCGTTTCTGAACTGCATGGTAGCTTTCTATAAAGGATTCTGGGCTAGCGAGCGATATCAGTTTTTCTCACAGAAAGAAAGCTCAGTAAGGTAGAGAAGAAATTACGGCTCTCCTTTGAACTTTGTCCTATTATGGTGGCCAAAAAAATACCCTAACACGGCCACAGTCGTGTGTAAAATGCAGAGTGCCTACCGAGGAAATAATCGCGGCAAAACTAGGATCCCCTCCAAATAACCGGCCAATATTATCGAGGGCAAACAAATGCTCTAACAGGGACTCAGCGATATGTTAATTGTATATGTATCCCCTGTGCCGTGAATTGGGGGGCTAAACTAGATAGTTGGGACTCACAAGCAAATAAAATGGAGGAAGTTGCAGGAGATGCGGTAGCTGCTGCTCGTGATTCCCAGCCATCTAGTTTAGCCCCCAATCTGCGCCGTGTGAAGTGGCGCAGGGGATACGCTCCGCAGTGAGTTTAATCGGAAGAACAGTGTTGCTAACCTGCTTCGGAGCGCGTGGTCTCCCCGCCATATCGCTGTTATCGTGTGTTTTGTTGCATGTCTCGAAAGTGTCAACGGACAGTAATCCTAGTTTTGCCACGATGTGTTTGTCAGAGGAAGTCAGCATTTTACACATGACTGAGGCCCTGTTAAGGTATTTGTTTGGCCGCCATAATATGGGGACGAAGTTCGAAGGAGAGCCGAAATTACTTTTAATTACCAATTGAATTAGTAACGGACTGAAAATATTAGCAAAAGGGGCTATTCTCCGAATAACAGGCACATATTATGGCGGCCAAAAACACACCCTAACAGGGCCTCAGTCACATGTCAATTGCAGACTTTCTGCGACTACCGCCGAGAGTATCTTCAAAGCTGCTACACGTGGCATGGAGCTGGGCTAAGCTAGATGGCTGGGACTCACAAGCAAATAAAATGAAGGAAGCTGCAGGAGATACGGTAGCTACTGCTCGTGAGTCCCAGCCATCTAGTTTAGCCCCGCGTAGCGGCGTGGGAGATACTCCTGGCGGTGGCGGCAGTCCGTAGTTTAAGTTGCCAGAATTCTGCAATTGACATGTGACTGAGGCCCTCTTAGGCTGTGTTTTTGGCCACCATAATATGTGCCCGTTATTCGATGGATAGCCACAAAAGGTCTTTTAGTCTCCCTTAAAGATTAAGGACATCGCGTTCCTATGGACTAGCTAGACTGGATTCTATGCAACAAGTTAATAACCTTATCCATTACTGGGGGTACATACTTGCTGATTGATTGAACCGATTTTTTTTAAAAATATCCCCAGAAACCATGAGTTGTTAACCTTTTGGCTCGGTAGGGTATTATGGAAATCGCGGCTCTACTGGCAAATCCGGACGAAGAAAAAAAAGGGTTGGACGACTTAGAGTTCTCTCCCTTGGCCGCACTCCCAACAGTGATCGGAAAAGCCAACGAAACAAAGAAGACAGTCACGTCGACATCAGGGGTGCCAATGCTTGGTTGTTTCCCCCAGATCTGGTTTTTTTTCCCGACGCTGCAGGACAAATCTGGTTTTTTTTTTTGGGTGTGTTTTGTGTGTTGCTTTTTGCCGAATTGTATGCTTTAATGATCGATAAATTTGTGTGGTTAGGGGTAGTGGTTAGGAAGTAGGATTAGGATTAGGGTTAGAGGTAGGGTTAGGTTTAGCGTTAGATTGGACAATTTTGACGCCGGATTTCCCTATAATCGCGCACAGTCCCATACACACACACAAACAATCGAGGGCCTCTGGATGCTGGTCAAACGCACAATTCGCCAACGATTGGGGGCACCAGCCGCACGCTATTGGCGTCATATTTGGCAAAGTTTCAGTAGCGCCACTCCCACAAACATCAGATTGTCGGCCAGTATTTCGAAATCCTACGTCAAAATTTTCACATCTAACCCTACCCCTAACTCTAACCCAACAACCGCATGATGACTACACATCCCTTCACGATGCCTCACGCAACTGTACGCAGCCCTACACGCAACCGTAGGATGATAGGTAAGTAAGTGTGTCGTTTGTTTCGTTTTGTGGCTTTTCCGATCACTGTTGGGAGTGCGGCCAAGGGAGAGAACTCTGACTAAGTCGTCCAAGGCTTTTTATTCTTCGTCGGGATTTGCCAGTAGAGCCGAAATCGCAACCCTTCGGCCTTGATTCGATGATTGGTACCGTAAATCTGGGAAATGTGGCTTTTCTAGTTTTCTGCCTACCCCGGGAGTGAACCAGGACCACAAGAAGTTCGTCACCCGGACCACAAGTAGTTCGTCACCCAGTCACCGTGTAGTCAGGTTTAGCCAACAACGCCGGGCAGATTAGACCGATCATTTGTGGTGGGTATCGAAAAATTTCAACTTATTTTCAACCAGCCATAGCAAGTTCTTTTAAGACGACGTACCTTCGATATTTCAAACCGATCACCACACGGGCATGGATAATGATAAATCTCTGTTTCTTCATCATATTCCATGTCTTCAATCTCAATCTCGTCGTGGTAAACAGACATGGTTGTGCCGAAGATGGCAGATGTCTGGTTGATAAAGTCTTTCAGTCAAAACCGTATTTCCACGTTTTGTTTGTGGCGACCATAAGCGGAAATGGATATCTTCGTGAAAAGACACATTCGTTAATTTGGGTGACTTATTCATTCGCCATTGTTATTGATCATTTTGCTACAATACTTGCTGTTACTTGGTGTCTGTACCGACATCCTAGGACATCGGTCCCACCCATTCGTGCTCCGTCTTCCGATGCAGCAGCCACCTTAGTGTTTTCTTGCTAAGCATACCTAGCAAGAGTTGATTTGAGTCTTAAGCATGCCCATGGAATCGCTTGGAAAGCACGCATGAGAAACATTATGTGTTTCTAGCCACTTCATTGTTTTTGTTACCGTCAATTCCACAGCCACACAACTTGTAGTTGAGACAAAAGCTCAGATATGTTCTGTTATACTTCTTTTTGAGGCAGAAGCGTGAAAGCCCATGAGCGTTTATATGTCGAACCCGTCGATGTGAGCAACTGAAGATGGTACTATTTCAATGTTTTGAAATGAATTCTGTCTGTATTCCAAAAGTTGTAGATTTCAAGCTGTACGATAGACGTGGCCAATAAGACACCTTCCTTGGGGGTGCATAGTTGACCATGTTCTTAATGCCCTTGTTTCCATAGCAAGGCGCACACGCCGTCTAGAGATGAAACTATGGGGGTGACTGCAGTCAAGCTAATACAAGGAATTCCAGAGCAATTTGACTAAAAAGCTCAAAATTTCTCTGGAATTCTTCGTCTAGAGGTGAAAGGTTAGATTCCCGGCACGGTAACTATAGCTTTCGATTTTAATGCAGTCTAGTGTGTTCTTATAAGTGGCCGCGGACCAAAACAGGTGATGGTCATTGAGAGGAAGCGAGTTAGTTGGTGGGACAGCTAACTATAAAATACCTCAAAACTCTACGACATGACCATCGGCGGGTAAAAGGCGCTATAACCTCTCTCCCCTACTGCCTTGCAGGGTAAGTCTCTTTAGACAAAAGCTGTTGGAGTCAAACCATATACAAACCGGTGGAAGGCAAGGGAAAACCACCGCTGTTAGTAAATCATGCCTTAAAATATTACGAATTCAGATAACGTTAATGGAGATTCCAGTGGAATCACCTCGTCCGGTAGGGAGCATCATGTTCTACGGATGATACCCGACCGTCATCCGGCTACTGTAGAAAAAGTAAATAATAGAAACATGCTAAACATTGGTACATGGAATGTCAGAACACTCGTACAAAACGGAAAGCTGGATAACATCAAGATAGAAATGAAGAGAATGAACATCAACATATTAGGAATTTGTGAAATGCGATGGCCAGGAGGAGGGGAAAGTATTCAGAGCAGCACATAATTATTTACTCGGGTGGGAAGGAATATAGTAAGAGAGTTTGTATTATTTTGGATCCAAAGATCTTAAAAAAAAAAAAAAAAAAAACTGTGAAAGGATTTTGGACAATATCCGATAGAGTGCTATTAGTAAAATTTCGCGGCAAACCGTTTGACATAAGCTTAGTGCAGATTTATACCCCAACAGCAGATAGTTCAGAGGAAAGTATTGACGCATTTTATGACGAATTAGACATGGCTGTTGATCAATGCAAAAATTGTGAAGTAACAATGATACTTGGAGATTTCAACGCGAAAATAGGAAGTGAAAAAGGGGAAGGAAAAACGGGTGGCTATAGACAATCAGTAGGCAGGCAACACAATTTCCTTGAGGCCGCAGAGATGTGGTTTTACAGAAAAATGCTTAGAATACCCCAGAAAGCCAAAAAGAGCAACCAAGAGGTTTTGAAAGAGGCGAGAGCCCGAAGACAACTTATCACAGACATCAGAAGGAGACAGTCGCCATTTTTCAGCCATGTTATGAGAAGAGGGAAAATAGAATATGTTGTGACCACTGGAAAGATCTGTGGAAGGAGGGATAGAGGAAAACAACGAGAGAAGATTCTTGACAGTCTTGTTGCATGAGATCGATGTGTGTCGGCACACAAATTGACACATGCTGCAGGAGATCGCAGATTGTGGAGAGGCATGATCGCCAACGCACGTCGGCAAGGCACCTGATGATGATGAGTGTGTTCTTCTATCTTTCTACTTCTTTCTATGAGTGCAGATCAATACATTTTGTTTTACTTTATTCATAAATAAGAATTAAGACTTGAACTTTTGCTTCCACCAACGGGGTTTGTCGTCTATGAAGAATACCGACTCAGAAACATCTTTCTCGGAAACTGAAAATTAATTGCCTTATTTAGTGTGAAGAGAAGCCTAATAATTGTGACTCTGCGCTATAAATGTTATCCTTAACGTCATCATCATCATCAATTTTCACTTCTGCCTTTAAGCCTTGTGGGGGGGGGGGGGGGGGGCAGTGTGCAATCCACTGCTTGATGGACAGCACTAGCTATTGTCGATGTAGAAGCTCTTCAATGTCATCAATCCATATTCTCCTAGGTCGGCCTCTTGCTTTCACTTCAGATCTTTTCATGTGAAATGCCTGCACTGTTAGTTGTTCTAGCCGCATTGTTACTAAATGACCAAAAAGAAAAAAAAAAAAACGATGCATAGAAGTTCTCGATTATTTATTTACACATCTCCTATTTTAAAATGTCAAAAACATTGTTATATATTTTTGCTGCTAAGCACATCATTTACACACTTAAATAAGGTTTACGCCCTTTGAGCTCCCCAAGAATACCTGAACTTCTCCAATGTTCTCTTCGTGTCAGCTCCCCTAGATATTGCTATAGGAATGTGTCGGTCCCCTAATCCATCTTAATGTGTGTTTGGTACATAGTGTGTGTCCCACATTTTGAAAGCCAAACCTAATAGAATCAGCTTTATTGTACAGTGCAGACCTGAGAAGGAGAATTCACCACTGATCTAAGAAATGGTTCTTTTTATCAGAAATTCATTTTTTTTTTCAGATAAGAGTTCAAGCAAAAAAAGGTGTTGAGGATAAACAAATTGTTATTTACATACTTAAATAAAGCGTCACATCTGATATGGCTTATAGGAGTCTGCACTGAAAAGTGGTGAAAATAGGGAATGACTGTAGTCAAGCTAATACCAAGAAATGAATCAAATGAAATGTGACTTAGAAGCTTAACAAGAATGTTTTGTGCATGTTGTTCTGCTTCCCCCATCTCGTTAAGCTTTTAAGTCACAGTTCATTTGATTAATTTCTTGGTCTGAACTGAACCAGGTTTGGTCTCAAATGGCTCTGTCTCTCTCCACAGCAAGACTGCCTCCCTGCCGACAGCGTCAGACAAACACAAACTTCAAATCACCAGCAATGATCTCCAGGGATCCTGGAGACAACTATATTCAGGAACTGAATAATGCAGTACACGTAACGAACATACGTCTTCAGAGCACAAGGCAAATGCCTTGACAAATTCACCATGAACAAATAATATTTAATGGTCTCACACACAGCTGGTGATTTGTCCATACTATATTTTGTTTGGTTTCTTTCTTGAACTGCCATTTCTATGTGGCCACATATGAAAATTTTTTGGTAACAATATAACCAACCAAAAAAAAAAATGATTAACCAGAATCAAACAATTAAAGTAACAATAACCGTTTCCAACATCCTTTCGGATCACTTTCTTGTTTTCGTAGCCAAGTATTCATACTTTGTTCAATAACAAATACTTTCCGGTGCTGAAACTGTCATTTGTTGTCTGTTCACTTCTCCCGATGGCGCTTCTGAATGACCTCACAACATCCAGCAATTCCTGACCCCAGAGGCAAGCGAGACCTCTACAAAATCAAACAGTTGGCGTTGCTAGAGGTTGCCGGTAAATTCAGTGTCTTGGCTACAGCTCGAACAATATAGGTCATGGAGCCATGCAGCCCGCCGGGAGCAGTGTCGTAGAGGTAGATACAGATGTTTGCAGCTCCTTTGGTTTTCTCAACAATATCACCAGGCATTCCCTAGAATCAAACACAAACAGATGGCCATAAACTTATTACAATGAAATGCTGCAGTTCAATCGGCTTATTTGAATAAGAGGGAGAAGAAGAAGAAGGAAGAGGAGAAGGAAAAGAATAAACAACCCTTATGTAATTCATAAAAGAAAATGCAGTGGATGAAAGAAAAACAGAAATGGCCATCACACGGACACTTTATTGGCACTTTTCCGCCTTCCCAAATGACAGTGTTGTACTGTGCCTGAGGGAGGCATACGAACAACAGCCCATGGCGGTGGCGAGTGTGACTAGCAAGACCAGTTGGGATTTCAGGACCACTACTGTTGCCATCAAATGTATTTAACATGCTTTTATTTTCCAGATGCTTAACTTTGAATTCATCTGCACTGATTATAACATTATCACATTCCTTTCCTGATTTTCCACATTTTCTCCCTCTCAGCAACATGACACAAAGTTACTAGTGGCCTTCTAACCAACTGAGTTAACTGTTTGCCATTCACAGTACTCACTTTCTGAATATTCCCTCTCCTTCTATAACAGAGGGTGTGGATGGAGATGAGTAGGCTGATAGATCAGTTGTTGCCACCCCTCTGGGCGCTGGGCTACTTTACTGTTAAAGTGGTCGCAGTAAAAGCTCTCATGGATCAAGTAAATGGCACAGCAGAATAGACAGAGCATCTATGTCTGGAGGGAGAGATCCAGCTGGGAACAAGCTGGGTGTCTCAATGATTGTTCTACCTGCAGGTTACCACTGGCACCATCAGTATGGCAACTCTTTGTTGGCTACTCAGGAAGGGGAAGGAGTACGTGTAGGTATGCCTAGAGTGCACTGATATCAATTTTTGATTTACTCATGCATCACTCACTCACTCACTATAGCCTTCCGCTGGCTTGAAAATCAGCTGTACAGATATGTCATATAACTGTAACTGTCTCACAGAGCTTGTCCAGAAAGGTAGAGACCGGTATGCTGTGTGAAGAGTGGCAAGCATTGCTTCAGAGGTCACAGGTAGTTAGTGCCCTTTTAATCGTTTTTTTTCTCCAGAGAATGCTGATATATTAGGAAATATACAGGCAGATAGACTGACTGGTTCTGCACAGATCATCATGGTCTGAGGAAAACTGCTACGGGAAATGACCAGGAGATCTGGCCAATGATCAACACTTGAGGGAAAGGTAAATTTACAATCAGACTTCCAGGGGATCTGGCCAATGATCAACACTTGAGGGAAAGGTAGATATACAATCAGACTTCCAGGGAATCTGGCCAATGATCAACACTTGAGGGTAAAGTAGATATACAATCAGACTTCCAGGAGATCTGGCCAATGATCAACACTTGAGGGAAAGGTAGAAATACAATCAGACTTCCAGGAGATCTGGCCAATGATCAACACTTGAGGGAAAAGTAGATATACAATCAGACTTCCAGGGGATCTGGCCAATGATCAACACTTGAGGGAAAAGTAGATATACAATCAGACTTCAAACTAGAGCGCATACAGAACACGGCTATGCGGGTCATTCTGGGTTGCACCAGAGACACCCCAGTGGTGTGTATGCGATACATCCTTGGTTTGCCAACTGTTGCAGGTAGGCACCAGGTGCTGCAGGTGAAGTCATATCTCAGGGTAGCTGCAGACACAGACCACCCTCTGCATGAAGCTCTGGGTGCAGTTAAGAGTTAGCGGCTGATAAGAGGGAGGTCATGGATGGCTCAGGCAGAAGACACAATCAGACAAATTTGCATCCTTGAGAACATTAGGGGAGGAGAAGAGTGGGTCAAAGTGCCACCTGAGCAGTCAGACTTGTGTAGAGTCATAATCACGCTGAGCCGGGAATGCAGAGACTGGCTAGCAGGTGCCCCAGAGGTGGAAATTCAGCAATTAATTCAAGATAATGCTCGATCAGAGGATTTGATCATTTAAACACACACACACATACACACACACACACACACACGCGCACACACACACACACACACACACACACACACACACACACACACACACCGTGATTGTAACTGATTCAGAAAGCATGCTGAGAAAGATCAGAACAGGTATGCTTCGTGCAGAGTGGCATGCTTCGCTGCGGAGGTCACGAGTGAGGAGTATTGTCTGGATTTTTTTTACCGAGTCACGCCGGTGTGTTGGAAAATGAACAAGCGGACAGACTGGCTGGCTCTGCACAACGTGGTGGAATACTGCTACATGATAGGGAAGACGTGGTTAGTGCCTTGTGGGAGAGCGTGTACAATTCGGAGGAGCAGACGGATCACCACAGTCTGGAGAGATTGATGCAGTTGGGGGTGACGATAGGTTCTGACAGAAGATCGAGGCTCAGAGAAAAGACAAGACGGACGTTTAATCAGAAAGCTACTGGCACCATTAGTATCGGAACTCTTCGCTGGCTGCTGAAGATGGGGACGGAGTGCTTATGGGAATGCCCCGAGTGCTGTGATGTCGATTCTTGAATCAAATCAAATCAAATCAAATCAATCAGACTTCCAGGAGATCTGGCCAATGATTAACACTTGAGGGAAAGGTAAATATACAATCAGACTTCTAGGGGATCTAGCCAATTATCAACACTTGAGGGAAAGGTAAATATACAATCAGACTTACTGCTGAGAATGGGGACACAGCGCTTATGGGGATGTCCCCATTGCTGTGATGTCGATTCTCAAACATTACCATGCATCAGAAAGAAGACAAGCAGTGAGAAACAGAAACACTCACCACATCCCTAATGAAGATCCTGTTGGCCTCACTGATAATTTTATCCACTTCAAAGTCCATGTCAGTCAAGTCTAAACGACCGCCGTCATGTTCCACAAGCAGAGATAGAACCAACATGGCTTCTACCAACAACTGTCGGTATTCTGGCTGAGGGATGCTGTTCAGTGCCACTTCTACTTGTAATGCAAATTTAAACTCTTGTTTGGTCATCTGTCCATAAAAAGTGCTATTTTTACTATTATTTTGACAATGGCAAATTGTATCCCCCCCCCCCCCCACTCCACTTTCTCTGTTACCGCTTCGAGTGTTGAAGGCAATACAGGGTCCTGATTCTCTGGGGGTCTGAGCGGCAGGAAGCCTAGCATAGTCTTGGGATCTCTTCTTCTTTGTGGTCACCGTCTATAAACTTCGGTGCAAACTTCTAGTTGTTTGTCTACTTCTGGACTTTAGTCTCGTTCCAGAACTGGAGTTTTACGTGCACACCTCTTGCACAGATCTGGCGTTTTTTTGTGTAGACTGTTGGTTCGTCGCCACTAAGGTAGATGTGATCCAACTTCAGAGGAAAAATCCCTAATTAGTAGCATTCTAAGACAAGGTTGTTGTGGGGGGGGGGGGGGGGGCAATAGGTCCATCTCCCAATGGGATTCAGGAAGATACCACTGCTGAAATCAATGTAAAACAGTTTGCTGTCAAATCACTCACAGCTGGAATTAAATCGGGTATTTGTGAATTACACCCTTGCTTCTTCTTATGGTTCATGCCATATGGCATTGGTAGTCATGTCATATCCACAGCCGTCTGTTTCCTGTATTTTTAATAATGTCTGATACAGATGATCCGTGTTCCTCTGCATGACTTTTCTTTGCAAAATATTCACAGTAGATTGAAACTTCTTGCCATGAGAGCAGTGCCCCTTTTGAGTAGGTTGTCCTACCCACTGTACATAAGATCAGCACACACACACACACACACAAAAAAAGCATTTGAAAACAAAGGGGAACTTATCACAATAATGACTACAAGGCGAGAGTTACTCCCATCCTATTCATGCCGCGACCGGACACAGGGCATGACCTATGTTGTAGAAGTACTATGTATGATATGGCTTTGTTCGGCAGTCGCTCGCTGTATACAGTGTTTGTGGGATGTTGTGTTGTCACGAGTATCTTTGAGGCACCGCAGGCGCATGTGTACAAGTCTTCTTCTTCTTCGCGTTCACCAGCTGTACACTCTGGCGAAAAGTTCTGGTTGCTCGTCCACTACTGAACTACAGTCCTGCTCCAGAATCTGAGTGTTGCGTGTGCATCAGTTTTACAGATCTAATTCTCTTGAATACTGACTGTTGGTTCCTTGCCTCTCTGGCAGATGCACTTCGACTTCAAAGGAAGCTCCCCTATTAGTCGACTCTTACGACAAGCTTTTGGGGAGGCAGTGGGTCTATTCTTGTTTTCCCCACAATGGGGCCCCGGAGCCCACACGGGGGTGTGTACAAGTAAAAAGTACTGGAGAGGGAAACATCGCAGGAAAAAAAAAACTGGGATGTTTTTGTATTTATGTTCCTTGGCGGTGGATTTCCTCCCAGAAAAAGAAGCGATCGCCAAGGAAAGTAGAAACACAAAAACATCCCAGTTTTACTACTCACAAAATGCGCCAGTAGCACAATGTGCGAATAATCTCCCAAGTGAGCAATGACAACACGAGGAAAGAGAAAACGGTTGAACTGTTGACAATTAGGAATACATGACACCCCTACAACATATGACAGACCGTGTGACCGGCTGCTGCATGAATAAGATGGGAAGTAATTCTCACCGTGCTGACAATATCTTGATAAAAACCAACAAAGGCTTCAGGAAGTTGATCATTTAATGAGACACATTTAAGTAGGGTGTAGAAACAAGAGAAATGGCTAGTCAGCCGCTTGTACCGGGTGATCAAAAACAGAAAGAAGATAGTGATATACTGGGCAGCATGAGAAGCAGACAGATAATTACCAAACTGACACTGGAACATGAAACAAACAAACTAAGGAAATAAGGAAATCTAAGAGAATCTCACAAGTTATTCACAGCCTTAGGTGACCTGATGATGAAAAAAAAAAAATGATTGCAATATTAAGAAATTAAACAAATTACAAGAATACCTCATGTGTCAGACTTCCAAATAACTTTACGTCTTTAATGATCAAACTGCGGCACTGAAAAGAGAACAGTAAAAATAACACATGAGAATATCACAAGAAGTAAATGCAGGAATACAATAATGTTGGCAATTTTTCCCTGGATTTTTTGGGGGACAACCATTCGTGGGTAAAATGAGTTTAAAAAAAAAATCAGGGACAAAAGATCCGATTCTAGGACTGCCCCTGAAAATCAGGGACAAATGGTCACGTTATGTTACAAAGTACAGCTCTAACGCAAGGGGGGGGGGGGGGGGGGGGAGAGAACAGCATTACAAATAAAGTAAAGACTCACCAGGCTTACAGTGCTGGATGTTAAAGATATGAGAAGAAAGTTTAATGCAGTTGAAAACAAATGCTTGATGAAAATGTTGAACATACAAGGGGATGAATTCGACAGAGATAAAGAAGCAGGGGAAATTTCTGGACACCCACTGGTAACAACAGTTATAGGACAAGGAAGATGGTGCTATACTGGACACATCCTGGGAAGAAACCAGCAGAGAATCACCAAGCAGGCACTGAGAGGGGAAACATAAGGACTGAGGAAGTTAGGAGCCAAGAGCAATCCTAACGTGATCACTGATGAGAGAGGCCATAGCTACTGGACTGAATTTCCTCCCTGATGTCAAAAAGATTGCACAGGACAGAAATGAATGGAGTGAAAAACTGCACACCAGGCACCTTTACATCCTAGCAACTTCCTAGTACTCTTTTAGACGAGGTCAACCTGGAAGACAAAGTCAATTGAAAAAATAAATAAAAAACAAGTGCAGTTTATTCGAAAACCCCGGGGGATCATCACTGGAGCTACAGAGTTCCTGTTTTGTGCGACAGATTCAGCGGGCAGCTAGTTGCTCTGAGGTGAAAGCCCTATGGGATAACCCAGTGCAATTAAACCAATTCTCTTGACTTTAACTTTCGATACAAATATCATATAAGTCCCCTTCCAATAAAACTTCAGGAATCTGAAATGCTGGTGTTATTTCTCTACCTTTTCTGTCTCTTGTCCCTAACTCGGCCACCTGGTTGAGGCTCACTATGCTTGACATTTTCTGAAAATCTGCCCAAAGAACTTTGATTCTGCCTTCTGCTCAGGATGTTCCGGAAATGTGACATTGGTCATTCCAGATTATGCCATTATCGCTTGCTTGGGCTTTGTAGGGGTGGTATTTCTCTGCAAAGTTTTTGACATCAATCCATTTGCAAAAACTTCCTTGCGTAATAAGAGAGGTAAACAGAGGTAGCGCATGGTATAGTGACTCATACAAGTTCCAGCAAACAAGTCATATTCCAAACAAAGGTGGCGTACCAAGCACAATTTTGGGCGTCTGCCCAGGACGTACAACAAGATGGACAAATACCAAAGCGGAGTTACACGGCAGTCCCCAGCCTCAAATGGGTACCAGGATGGGCTGTCCTGGGAAAGTAAAGACAGCCGGCGTTATGCTGACCACATTACCCACCGAGTGCTGATGGTCTGTAAAAATATGGGCGCTCTTCCCATATGCCCGATACGCCTAAAGGCGTGAAAGGGATCTTTACTTTACTTTTTTTTTTACTTACCATTGTTATTGTACAAATTCTTTGTTATTATAAGCGAACGAAGCTCTTCTAGCTGCAATATGTCTTTTTGTCACTGATTGGGTTCTTGTTAAGCCAAGTTAAAAAAAAAAAAAGCATACTGTAGGGAAAAGTTGTCAAGCGATCAAGAGGTATACAGCAACAGATGGAATAACATGAGATGGACTAATAGCAGACCCAGGGCAGAAAAAGAGTACTGAAGACCTATTACAGCCAACCTTCCACGTGGAGATGGCACCTGATATAGACCATGGGCTTGACTTTATTTTGTTGTTGAATAAAAAAATTTGTTAGTCCCCATGTGGGTCATAGGTTTTAGGAGCAGAGTTGGGAACGGTGGGTGTTGCTAAAATCGGACGTGGTGGGACTGATGTAACAGGCCAGCTGTAAACCACAACACAAGAACAAGTTAAGAGCAAATGCAGAAAAAGAAGGTAAAGGAGAAAGGGGAGGAAAAGGAGGAAGAAGAAGAAGAAGAAAAAGAAGAAGAAAAAGAAAAAAGAAAAAGAAGAAGAACAATAACAACACCACCACTAACAACAAGCAATTGACTGGTACTACAAGTAAGTTAAAACATACTGCCCACCCTTCTCAACAGTTCCCACACTTGAGGATAGAACCCCACTGGCACCCGGTTGAGGGAACCATCCAGTCTCCGACGCCGCAACCACTGTCCTTGTCGCTCAGCTATTTCTTCAACTATCTCATCCTCCGATCGATACTCGTGCAGGCTGCCGCCCATGGCCATGTCTGTGATTCCCTGAACATAGAGACAAATGACATCTGCAGATTACACATCGCAACAGGCAAAATGTGATCACAATATGGATAACAACCGTTTAAAAAAAACAAAGAAATTAATGTATTCAATCAGCAAGGTCTAGGGTCAATGAGACACTACAGATCTACACACTTGGCCAGGTCGGTGTAAAAGGGAATGAGCGAGGGTGACAAGCAATGCCTCATTGCAAGCACGGACAGAACATCATCAAAGCAGTTCAGACCAGGCGAGCGGATAATGACGAATCTCGGACAGTAACACTATTGCATGACCCAGGAGTAAAGTCTGGTGAAGCATGTCTATGCCGCCTTCAAGGCCGAGACGGCAGACTTTATAACCAACTCCTAATGGGAACACACAATGGTGATACTTTGGAGTGGCTGCTGCAACAGACGACTAAGCCCACACTAGAATGCCCAATGTTCAGTGACATCGACTGGGATAACACCATACCATACTTACAATAGCAACTAAACATTTCGACCAAAGCCTTTGTCAAAGAGCAGCTCAACAAACACTAAAACAAGAATCTAGACACCCACCCCCACAGAGGGAAGACATATGAGATAATCTAAGTAGAGAGATAAATGACATCTGCAGGTAACAGACACACCATGAGAGATTGCCTGAACATAAAGATAAATGACATCTGCAGGTAACAGACACAGCATGAGAGATTACCTCAACATAGAGATAAACGATATCTACACGTAACAG